GTGTCATCTCATGCATCGTGTGTGTGTGTGTGTGTGTGTGTGTGTGTGTGTGTGTGTGAACTACCTCTCTATCTCTCTCTCGCTCGTTCTCTGTCTCCCTATTCACTCTTGCGGTTGCTGTGCTTCCTTCCCCTGGATGCACATGTATATCAGGTGCCAGCATCACCTCGTGCACCTCCTAGTGCTTTACGCATACTTCTTTCATTTATTTTCCTTTTTCTTGTTTTATACTCACCGCAGCTGCACGCACATCTCCTACTCATCCCTTTCTTTCTCTCTTTCCCCCCTTTCCGCGCGTGTTGCCGACAGTCCGAAGGACGAAGCATAAAATACGCCACAAAGGGAAAGACGACAAATTGTGGTGGAGGAGGAGGAAGAAGAAGGGAAAACCTCGGTGGGTTGTACTTCAAGAAGCATATCCTTATTCTTGTTTCCATTGTTGTGGCGTGTAGTGGTGGTGGCGGCGGTGTGTGGCTACACATTGTTTTTAGACTCTCTTGAGTGACTGTGTGTGTGTGTAGGTGTGCGGGGGTGTCTTGTGGTCGTTACACGACGCATTCTCACTCATCAGTCTGTGTTCGTCTGTTGTTCACCGCATACCAAAGCGTCGCTTTTGTTGTTGTTGTTGTTGTTCTACGAGCTTGACGGTGTGTGCTCTCGCCCTTTTGTTTGTGTGTTACTGATTACTCCTGCTTTGTCGGCTGTTTGCTGTGATCTCATTTATAAATCGCTTTGTTGTTGTTTTTAAGACTTTTACCAATTTGTTCGTTTTCTCGAGACAGGAACGTTATTCCGCTCCCACTTAAAAAAAAAAAAACAAGCAGCAGCAACAACACGAAGAAGAAGAAAGGAGTAAAGGGGAAACGGAGTTGTACCCCCGTGAAGTCGCTTTGAGTTGGTTTTCTTCGTTTGCTGTGGGTTCTCTTTGCGTCCTTTTTTTGTTTCTGTGTGTTGCTGCTGCTGCTGTGTGGGCGTGTGCTGGCGTCCGTTTAGGCAGCCATTTTTGTTTTTGCTTTTAAAATTTCTTGTTTGTTTTCTTCTTGTTGTTGTTGTTGGCAACCCTCTTCTGCGCCTTTGAACTGGGCACGGTTTGTTGGTCCTCCTTCTTTTATCTTCTCACACACCCTCCCCTCTCTCTCTTGCTTAGTGTACATAGAGGAATAACCAATTGCTGTTGTTGAGCTCATTTCCTTTTGTTTGTTTCCGGTGTGTAGACTAGTCAGCGAGCTGACCCAAGGAAGACGGCAGAGTTGCCAACATATATATATATGCGTGTGTGGTGTTGTAGCGCACACCGGCACCTCCTTCGTCTTTTCTTCTTCTTTTTTTAGGTTGTCGTACGCGGGGACGGCGTTTTTTTTCTTTGTTGTTCAGTTCTTTACTCACGTTGTTGTTGTCGTCCTTCTCCGCCAGCCGATCGTTTGTGCAGTTGACGGTCGTGCTATTTTTTTTTGTTTTCTTTCCAGTTGTGGTGGGTGTTTTTTTTCTATTGGAAATTCTAGCCAATTCAATTACTTTTTCATCTTTCTCAATATTTTTCTTTCTTTTTTCTGCCATAAATAAGCTTCTACATTTATTTCTACATCGGTGCGGCATCGCATCTCTGGCCCATCTCCTCTCTCTTCTCTCTCTCTATCATATTATCTTCTACTGCAATCATTGAAGTCGTTCTTGGTCTCAACATTCCGTTTTTTTGCTGTTTCTACTTTTCTCTCTTATTATATTTTCTTTTCATTTTTGCGACATCCATACAGGCTCCAGCAGTTTTTTGTTTTCTTCTTTCCTTCTTGTATTTATTTATTACTGTCGTCCCTCGCGCTCCGCAGACTCGTGTTGACGCCTCGGGGGCATCGATCCATACACACCCACCACCTGCGCAAATACCGAGAGACAACAGCAACAAGAGCGACCCGTCTCTCTCCCTCTTTTGTCATTTTAATTAGTTATTCCTGCACACTTACATAAGTGTGCTCACCTCCCCTTAACTCCTGCGTTCAACCGCAAAAGCGGACCTCTGCAGAATTCTACCTGCTTTCTGCAATTTCTTTTTTCTTCTTCATTGCTTTGCGCGTTATACATACCTCTCCTCTGGTTCTCTTAGTGTTATTATTGTTGTTTTTTTGGTAAATACATTTTAAAGGAAAAATGACGGACTCGCCACCCTCTTACCACAACCAAACGGCGCTTTTCTCAGCACATGGCCCCGCAAGCTCCGTCAGCGCAGATGCTCTTCCTTCTGTCACCGGAGGCGCAAGCAACAGCAACAGCAGCAGCAACAGCAACGTCCACAACGGCAGCGACAGCGCCCCTCCCACAAGCAATGCCGCACCTCCAGCGGACGCGGTGCTCGAACACGTCACCACGAGAATATGGCCCACCACCGCCAACGTAGCGGTGCCGGTGCCGGACTTTCCACGAGGCGTCTCCGCAGCCACGGGGACGCAGACTGCGGCGTGGTCGGCGCACGTCGGGAACGCGCAGGGCTTCGGACTCGACCTTATTACGCCACTGGCGGCAGCCGTAGCCGCAGCGCATTCAGCGGAGGCAGTTCCCATGACCCTCGCGGCCGTTGCGGCGCAGCAGCAGCCCTCCGATGTGCGGGGGGAGTCCTCCAGCTCCCTCTCCTCCTCCCTCAGCTCCCCGCACCACTCCTCCATGTCGAGAAGCCCCACCATCCTTTACCAGCCTGTCCTCTCCTCGCTCGGCTCGGACGGCAGTCAGCGCGTGACGGGAGATGCGCATCCCTGCTGCAGCGTGTCATCGCTTTCCGCCAACGGCAGCGCGACGCTGGCGGCGCTGGCGACGAAAAATGCGTCCACCCCAACCGCGCGCTCGCTGGAGATGCTCCATGCCGCACGCGTCGCCGGCAACGCTGTGCCGCCGCGGTCCGAAACGGGCTCAACCTCCTCCCTCACTGGAGGACCACCCTCACCTGCGCACCCCCGCACCCAACCGCAGTCCTCCGATCGCCACGCTTTGCTGTGCACGCCGTTGTCGCCGCATCCTATCTCCTCCCGCTCCTCGTCCCATAAACACCTGCTTCAGCAGCAGCAGCAGCAGGGTGCGGCTGACCTTCTCGCCGAGCTAAATCCATCGCTGCTGTTCATGGTGCAAGCCCTGCGTCATTGTCGCCTGTCCGAGGTGATGTGCCCGGTGGTGGTGATTGGCAACACCAGAGCGCACGCCGCAGCGGCCTGGACGGCGTTGGCGGCATCGTGGGGCAACCACAGCAGCAGCTCTTCTGCCTCCTCCCCGGGTTTAACCGCGGCGCCGACGAACACGTCCTCCTCGGCGTGTGAGCCCGCACCTGGGGTGCTCCACGCCATGACCTCGCACACGTTAGCAGCCGTGCTGGACCGCACCAACGTCAACAGCAGCCACAACAACCCGGACAACAACAACCACAGCACCAATAGCAACAACATCTCCTCGAATTTCGCCACGCTGCCGGTGTCGGTGGCGTCGGATCGATCTGGCTCGCCCCACACCCACTCTGGGGCGTTACTTGGCAGCATTACGGAGTACGACGGCGTGGATATCGATGACGATCAGGCGAGGGCACGTGGTGTGGGTAAGGAGCGCCAGCGTGATGCCACGCTCATGGCCGGCGACTTCGGTGTCATGTCCACCCTCGGCTCGAAGCCACCGCCGTCCGTTGCGAACACGGAGATGGGTCATCGCTCACCCATCACCCCCGTCTTGGACTCCGTCGCAGCGGAGGTGAACAGCAACGCCTTCATGCCCTCTCTTACGCACTTTAGCGAGTCGGCGGCGCAGCTGATCAACCCGTGGCCGTTGCTGTACGCCAACGACACAGCGCTCGGCCTCTTAGGTTACCACAAGCTGGAGGACGTGGTGTCGAGGGAGTTCGACGACATCTTTCGTTGCTTTGTCTACACGCCGGACAACAGCGCACTGAGGCAGCAGCAGCAGCAGCCACGGAAGCCGGACTGCCCGTTGAGCAATGAGGGCGTTGACACGAACAGCAGCAACGCGAGTGATCCGGAGGTCGCTGCACCGACGACCACGACGGCGGCGTCCCGCAGCCGCCGCACCACCGCCGCGAAAGCAACGACAGCGCCAACGACGGCGCAACGTCCGCTAACAGACCAGGCAGCGCTGTCGACCCCGCTAGACGAACTGCTGCGACACACAGACCGGCCACGTGTCACCTTGGAGGGCAAGCCGAAAGATGTTACCGCGGCGGCGGAGGCGGCGGGAAAAGAACCGAGCACCAACTCCGCTGCGACGTTTCCGCACCCGTCAAAGCTGCGAGAGGTGCACAACTTTGATGAGTTGTTTGCGCCACGGTACGACAGCTACGTGTTCTTGTACGCGGAGCGCACGGCGTCTTACTACGCGGCGCTAGCCGTCTCCTCGGACCAGGTCGAGCTGTCCGCGACGACGACGACGACAACGAAGGAGGCAAACGCAGGCCCGGCGGCGTTGGCGGCGCAGCACAACCCGTACCTCCGCCTCTTCGACTCCCTCACGAAGTGGAAGAATCCGTCACACCCGGCGCCGCATCCTACTGCCGCTGCCCTCGCCCCTTCTACACCACCACCTTTCGCTGTTGTGGCCGCTCTCGCACAGCAGCCGTCAGGCCCGAGCGTGAAGGACACGAGGAGCTTCTCAAAGGCCGCCACAGTAACTGACCCGGCCAACAAAGCAGACCAGCAGCAGCAGCAGCACCCGAAGGTGAGCAACGACCTCCGCACCTTCGCATTCTCCGTCAAACCTGAGGTCAAACCGCCTCACCCAACGGTGGCAGAGAGGGCGTCGGCGCCGCTCGCCCATCACCAGCTGCCCGCCCGGTATCTCGTGCTGTACCTCCTCCAGCGCGTTGAAACGGGTCTGAAGCCGCAGGTGCTGACGCGCCCACCGGTGCCAAAGCCGGACGTGGGGGAAGAAACGAAGGAGGAGGAACTGGCGAAGACGCAGACGGCGACGAGGGACTCCTCTGCACGCACCGGCTCGCTGCCGCGGCGCGTGACGGGGATCTACACCCTTCCACCACACCACACCTCGATGGACGCGGCGCCGACGGCGGTGGCAGCTCGCAGCTCCCCGTCTCCACCACGCCACCGCAGCAGCTCCGCTCCTTTGCTCGGCGAGAAGCTGCATGACGACGTCGACGCCCCGGTTCCTACGTGGAGGCGCACAAGCCGGCACATGCGACAGCGTCGGACGTTCCGCCACAGCGACTCCGACGTGTCTACCACGAAGCTCCTGCACGGCGGAGACACGGTAGAGAACACCCCATTGCTCGAGCTGCAGAACTGCTCCCCACGCTCCAGCACAGACTGGAGCGCGAGCAGCGCGAACGACTCTAACACTATCCGCAGCGATGCTGCCCGGGCAGCGCACACGGCCGCGGCTAAGGATGGCGGCCAGCAGAGCAGCCTATTTGAGCTCAGCTACACTTCTTTCCAGGCGGACCTCGCCAAACCCGCGCGGACCTCGTCCGACTTCGTCCCTGAGGCGTTAAATGCGGCCACCGGGGCGGCGGCAACAGCAGCGACCTCCACACCCACCTTTGGCTCCCGCACGAGCCCGATGAGCGCGGTGCAGAGCACCCCGGCGCTGCGTCAACGTCAGCAGTCACCGACGTTGCGCGCCTTCAGCGCGGGCGACATGACAGAGCACAGCGCGCTGGCACTGCGGTCCCGTCTCGGGCACATGAGCAGCTCCCATCCCCTGGCCCCGTCGGCGAACCCGTTTTACGCCGGGCTGACGCCGCCCAGCAGCGCCGGATCCGTCCCGCTGAGCGTCCACCCTGCCAGCCTCCCGAACTCGGCTGGGAGCCTCAACCTACCGCATTCAAATCAGACCTCGCCCTCAGAACACTCTCATTCCCTCCGATCTGGCCAGCTGATGCTGACGATGACGACGACCACCACCACCACCACCGCGCAGCCCTTCCTGGCTACAAAGCCCGTTGGCGCCCCGTGGCGCTCTATTCAGGAGGTGCGCAACGTGGAAGGTGTCGCGCAGCTGGCGCAGCAGGTGCGCGAGGCAATCCAGCAGCGCTCCTACGAGTGCAACAGCACGGGTACCTCATCCGGCTCCGCCGCCTCTCCGGTCGCCTCGGTCAACAGCTCGTCTCCTCAGCGGCAACATCTTCAGCGGCAACAACAACAGCACACCACGTCGATGATCCATTATCTTGGCACGCCGGGGACGCGGTCAGCACAGTGGCAGCGTCGCGGCTCTCGGGGATTGATGGCTGGCTCCGCGCCCACCACCGCGACCGAGGCCCCGGCCAGCCTGCCGCACTCCACGAACGCCGGCAGCAACAGCGGCGTGATGCGGCACTTGCTGGCACCGAACCGCGTCACGTACAGCGCCGATTGGGGCAGCGGTCGCAGCACGTCCCAGCTGCTCGGCAGCACCGCCGCCATGACGTGGCAGCGCAGTAACGAGGTGGATCAGATCGAGGCGAGGAAGCTGGCCAACCGCATCCGCTCGCAACGGAATGTAATGCGTGTGGTGACCTCGACCCGCCTGCCCGGGACACTTATCTTCAACTCTGTGGCCTTGATGATGTTTGTGCAGCAAGTCCTCCGCTTTCAGCAGAGTCAAGGGGTGCTGCAGGTGGCCTGCATTCTGAACGTTCGGGCCAAGACGCAGCTGGTGGTGGATATGATTCCGGTGGACAGACTCGATGACGCGAGCCACGACGACGTCCGCAGCTTTGAGGTCTCGTCGATGCCCACAACGCCGAGCATTGCCGGGGCGACACCAGCAGCAAGGGCAGCCCGCCTTTCTACACCCACGTCCGCGAAGTCCGTCTCCACCGCCGGCGTCACCTGGGCAAGAACGCAGCCGTCCGGTGAGCACTTAACTGCGCTGCTCAAGCGCCGACTGGCCAAGATGGACACCTTCTACTCCGAGGAGGAGTCGCGGCAGACATATCCGACCTTCTCTGAGAGCACACCATCCGTGCAAGGCAGCGGAAGCAACAGCATCAGCATCAGCGCACACCTGAATGAGCTGCACGAGCATGACATGGCCATGTCCTCCCGCACCGCGTTGCGTGCCGGCAGTTTTGTGATGTCGCGCCTGGTGGACCCCCCGTTCAAGCGAGAATCGTCGACCTTCAACATGTCGGAGTCACGCGGGAGTGGGGAAGCGTCCGCCTCACCGGCAGCGAGTGCAGCGACGGTGCCACGCGGCACAGGCACCGGCAATGCGAAGACGTCGCCGTCCGCAGCAAAGGAACTGGCGCCTCCCTCCACCCCGCCTGTTGGCCTCGTTGTCGATATCAACGCCTTCCGCCGCAGCAGCAGCAGCAGCCAAACTGGCGAGCGCTGGCACAGCCCGCGGCGCGACACCCGACGCTCCCACTCGCACGAGTACCGCACGGAGCGGGGAAGCAGCCGTGTTTTCATGATGGAGGGGGGCAGGCAAGTTGGCGCGTCAGCCCCGTGGACGATTCCGCCGCAAGAACCAACCGAGCCGACGACCCCGCTACCCCTAACGGGGGGGCGTCCAGCGAAGAGCGCGATGGAGCTCATTGGCGAGGCAGCGGCACGGGTGATGGGCAGCAGTCGCAACGTCTCCCGCTCGAACAGCTTCGCGCGAAGTGGCACGCACACACCGACGTCTGGACGGGCGAGGTCTTTGCCATCACACCCCACCATTATCCACAGCAGCGACATCAACACGTCGACCGTCACGACGACTGCCACAGCATCCATCGCTGACGCCAACGACGCCACTGGAGCAGCAACAGAAGCAGCGCTGATGGACTCCCTGACGCCACCTTCGCACGAGCTGGACGAAGGGAGTCCCACGACACACAAAAGCTCCAGCACGCCCAACGACAGCAGCAGCCGCACCCGCTCGAGCAAGAGCGCCTCCTCGTGGTCGGCGCAGTGGGCCGGTACGCAGCACCCACAGCCGGACAGCCCACCGGCGCAAACCACCTCGCCTCTACCACAGCATTCTCACAGCTTCCCTCCGCGAGAGTGGGTGCCCAAGTCCGATTACCTTTCCGCGGACACGCAGCAGGACCTTGCCATGTGTGACGGCGACATCAACGTCTCCGTCCTCACGCACGAGGCGCAGGTGTGCATCCCGTTTATCACGCCCTATCGCCTGGAGCTGCTGAGTCAACTCGGCAACGTGCAGCTGTCCTCCTACCGCGGCGTGTCGGTCTTCGGCGTCAACTTGGTAAACATGGTCACGGAGGAGGCGGCGGCCGCCGCCGAGCAGCCGTCCCCGCCCATCATCCCGCTGCAGTACGACCTTGCGGCGGGCAACTACATGAAGGCGGCCGGCGAAAAGAGCACGGTGCTGCCGCCCTTCAACGGCGATGACGCAGCCGCAGCCGCCGCGGTGGACACACCGACGCCATCCGCGCACCAGCGCAAGAAAAAGGAGCTGGCCAGGACAGCCAGCGGCCACCGCAGCGAGGAGCACGGCACCGCAGCGCAGACGAAGCAAAAGAAGCAGGAGAGGACTGCCGCAACAAACCTGTCGCCTGTGTCTCTGTCACCGCCGGAGTCGGACGCGGAGGTGCCCGCTTCGTCTGCTCCCTCCTCACGTGAGAACGGCGCCGTCCTTGGAAAGACTGTGGTGAGTGCCATTGTCCCCTCCTCCTCACAGCCCATCAGGACCAGGCCTTCGACGATTGCGATGGAGTACACGCCTGAGATGGAAGACCTAGGCGGGAAGGCGGGCGACACCTCCCTTCGCACGGCGTCGTCGCACAAGTCCTCTTCCGGCGCGATTCCAGACTCGAACGCAGCGTCGTGCGTTTCGATGTTTACGCCGGACCACCAGCCTCACCAATCGCCGATACGCGAGGCGACGGGCGAGGAACCGCAGAGCCCACGTCATCCGCAGCCGTCAGCACAACTACTGCAACAACAACAACAGCCACAGGGCCCGTCGACGGCGCGGAGCACCGTGATTGAAAAGGGCAGCGTCGTCTCGGTTGTGATGCCGCCGCGCGAGGCACGGCGAGTCCCCACTGCGCTGGCAGACAAGCAGAAACGGCGACCGTTGCTGCCGACCACGGCGGCTGCGGATGCCAGTCGCAAAGAGGAAGTCCCCAACCACAAAGCCGCCGAGGACGCAGCGGCGGCCGCCAATCGCAGCGACAAGAGCGACGATGATGTTGCTCCTGTCGAAGACGGCATTGCGGTGGGTGAGACAGACACAGCGGCGGCGGCGGCACTGCCGATGTTAACGGGCACCACCACCACCAAGTCCCCGCACGCCTCGATCAACGCCAGCACTACCTGCAGCGGCGGTGTGACGAAAACCAAGCCAACGAATGCGACGCTGTCTACGTTTCTGAAAGAGCCCTCGATGGCGGCAGCGGCGGTGGCAGCAGCCCCCGCAGCTGTCGTCGTCGCCGCTGCCGCGCCGGTGCCGGACCAAAGCGATTCACCCATCACCGATTGGTCCAGCAAAATCCAACACACGACGCACGAGCCGCAGCAGCAGCAGCGGCAGCAAAAGATGAAGGTAGCTGCAGAAAAAGGTGGTGTAGATCTGGCGCACAGGACCCAAGCTGTGAGCGCCTCTCCCTTGATGGATCGCGAGCAGGACGCCATCGACGCAGCCTCAAACCAGCTTCGCCCGTCGTCCCGTACGACGACAGCAGTCGATAGAGGGAGGTCTGAACAGGCAGCGCGGATCTCTTTCTTACCGGAAGGTCTGCCCCACGACGGGGACTGGCTTGTGCAGTCCAATGAGCAGAGCACCACACTCACGCTGGTCGCCCCGGGGAAACCGCCAGCGGCATCGCTGTCCGCCTACAGCGCCAGCGAGCGAAGCGAGCGGTCGGCCTCCGCCCCGCAACACCTCTCCGCGTCTCCGCCGCCGCTGCTGCCGCATCCCGTCTCCATCTGCGAGCGCCAGACGAACCCCGCCAACGCGCACGTCGATCCATGCGCCTCCCCGACCAGCACGACCTCCAACACGCAGGGCATGGTCAGCGTCCGCACGCAGAAGTCCGGTGGGACGGAGCTGCTGGGCTACACGCTGTCGAACAGCGCCGCCGCAGCGCTCGGCGGGTTCAGCACGGCGTTGATGAAGGAGGTGACGCTCGACAGCGACAACAAGAGCAGCGCGAGGGGGAGTCGCAAGGAGGAGGGGGGCGCAGACGTGAACAGCACGGACCATGCCCAGGCGGGGTTGACGCCGACCGCGGCAGTGGGCGACGGCTCCTCGTTGAACTCGCCAAGCGCGCGGCGCACCAACCCGCTCGAGCCAGAGCCGGACGATGCTGCACCGCGGTTGGTACAGACCACGGCGGCAGCCATCGCAGCAGCGCCGGCGATCCCTGCGCAGGCATCTGACCTCTCCACCTCGCACTCGCCCCGGTCCACCTCGCCCAAGTCCACCGCGAACACCGTCACCGCCGCCTTTGCTGCCCCGGTTGATGACTCCTTTGCCTCAGTGAACATCCTCCTCACCGCCGCGACGACACCAGTGAACGAGGTAACAGGGCCGATGCCGTCGCGGCCGTCGGCGATGGCTGCTGCAGCCGGTCGCCACGGCAGCCTCAGTGGTGTCGGCAGCAACGTGATCAGCTTTCCCGCCAGCGCTAGCACCTCTTTCGAAGACACGCGTCAAGTCCCGGCGGTGACGGGGGACGAGGCGAACGACTCCTTCGCGGAGAGCTTTATGGACATCTTTGGACTCGCCAGTCACCCACAGCGGCTGGCGGACCTCCGCCGGCACGTAGCGGATCGGATGCGTGATGCTCGCGCGAAGGCACCGCCGGGCATCGAGAGCAGTGCCTCCTCTCCGCCTTTTGCGCACGCATCGCCCAGGCGCTCCTTCACGACCACCTTGGCAGCGAATGCGTCCTCGCTGCCGCACCGCGCAGAGGCGGGCAGCGCCACGAGTAGCAGTAATCATAATAATAATAACAACAGCAGTGCCTTCCAGTCGTACTTCGCGGACTCAGCGGCGGCGACGACGGACAGCAACGCCGGCCACGGCAGTGAGAAGCTGACCACACTTGTGCCGAACGTGGGCGGCGGCGGCGACACCAGCAGCCGCAGCTTTCACCATCGTCACAGCAGCAGGAGTCCATCGGTGAACGAGACGCAGGACTCGGAGTGGTCGAGGCGTAAGGATGAGGAGTTCCTCAAAGACTCACAGAAGGTACTACGCACCGCGGAGGCGGAGGCGGCAGAGCAGCTAATGCGCCACAACCTCCACATTCTCGTGTACACCTCGCGCATGTACCCCGAGATGGAGGAGGTGCTCGGTCTCTACGGGCACTGCACCACCTTCGTGACCAGCCCGCTCAAGATGCTGCGATACGCACGTGCTGGGCTGCAGCCGTTCGACGTGCTGATCGTGGAGTGGGTCGACTACCTGGTGACCGCGGAGATCCACGACATGCTGGCGCACCACGCGGTCGACAAAACGGTGGTGGTGTACTTCATTTCCATCAAGCCTGGCGTGCAAACGCCGACGATGAACGTTGAAAACGTAATGACGGACACCACCGTCGTCGTGCACGCCGAGGACCTTCTCACTGGGCTGTTGACCCGCAACGTGCTGGGGGAGGTGCAGCAGCTCATCCGGCGTCGACGCTTGCTGCTGTCGATGATGGAGGTGCACATGCACCAGACGTACCAGATCGTCAGCCACATCGGCAGCGGTGCCTTTGGAGATGTCTTCGAGGTGCTGATGTATGTCTCGCAAGGCAAGCTCGCGATGAAGCGCATCTTCCTGAAGAGTATGAAGCTGCGCCAGCTCGAGCTGATCAACCGTGAGGTGAACATCCTACGCGCGCTCGATCACCCAAACATCGTGTCCTTATCGCACACCCAGCTGGAAGATAACGCGTACTCGATCTTTATGGAGCTGTGTGACAGCAACCTGGCCGATCACCTTCTCGAGCCGTCCACCGCCATTCCAGGCGCCGATCAGCGCCAACAGTACCGCTACGGTCAGTCGAACTTCGGCTCCCCAGACAGGCTGCCGCGAGGGTACGAGAGCAGCGTAATGGCGAACATCAACAACAAGATGAACGGTGGCAGCACCAGCCGCAGTGGCGCTAACGTCGCCGACGACGATGGGCACAGCAGCAACAACAACAACGATTCGTTCTCTGGGCCAGCGCTGACCCGCCCACAGGACGCCGTCATGATAGTGCACGACATCGCGAGTGCGCTCGTATACCTGCATAGCCGCGGCATTATTCACCGCGACATCAAGCCGGCCAACATTCTCTTCTCGAACGGTATGGCGAAGCTGGGCGATTTTGGGTCCGCGGTGAAGATGAACGAGTCGCGCAAGCTGCGAAACATGAAGGGCACGATGAGCTACATGGCGCCGGAGATGGTGTTAGGCGAGCCCTACACGGAGGCCTGCGATCTCTGGTCCTTTGGGTGCCTGATCGCGAGCATTATGGGCATCCACCTCGGTCACCTCAGCGGGCTGCACATGCCGGCGCTGAACGAGCTCTACCGCTCTATCCCGATCAACGGCTCCCTGCCCCTCACCTGCTCGAATCGGCTGTCGTCGAAGTACGAGAACCACTACACGGAGTCGACGACCATCCGCGTCTTAGCGGCGTTGAGGCGCGCGCTGGCGAACGAGATGGCGGAGCGGCAGGGCACGCCGCCACCGTCGTCGTTGGCAGCGGCCATCGCCACCACTACGGCTGGCACTACGGCTGATGCTGCTGGTGTCGGCGTTTGGCCCACTCACAACTCCAGCACCACGTCCCCCGCGATGAGTCAGGCAAGTCGCTCGGCCAGCTCCGACCTCGTGGACGAAGCCGCGCACGAGCGCCGCCGCGCCATTGCGGAGGTGGAGCGGGCGGACTCCAAGAACCGCCAGCGCAGTGTCATGTGTATTAGCACCACGAGCATTGATGTGCTGGGCGAGTTCCCTGCCTTGCTGCCGGCCTCCCTGGTGGAGTTGTTTGAGAACTTGTTCCACCGCGACCCGTCAAAGCGGATGACGGCCGCCGACATCCTCGACCACCCCGTTTCGTGGGATGTGGAGTGGATGACGCATATGATGGGCGAGGTGCAGATGATCTACTCCCAGCTCTCGCAGAGCACGATCAGCGCACGTGCCTCGATGCACGCAAACAGTCGCAGCCGTGCGGCGCCCGCCACCTCCTCTGAAAGCTCTCCGTTTCGAGGACGGGTGGGCAGCACGCCGCCTATGGAAGCGGCGAACTCCGCCTCGGGGAACGTGCACCCGGTCGGGCACTACAACTCTAGCTACGGCAGCAGCGCCTTTGCCTCCTCCTCTCCCAACGCGGCGCCACAGGCGGCAGGCTACGTCTCGTACTTCGCCATGCAATCAGGAAATGGAGGGGCTGGGGAGATGGGCGGAATGAGCTATGTCGGTGGCGGGGAAGCTAGTGTGAACGTGCCGTGCTCGGCGAACGACTACGTGCTGGACCTGTCGCTGAGTGGCGGCGAGGGAGGCAGCGGCGATGAGGAGTAGGGCGTGTTTGAGAAGACAAACGTTTAGGTGTTTGTTGTGCAACTCTCATCACCTCTTGCAGTTACTCCTTCGAGTTTGCGTATGTTTTGTTGCTGCTGCTGCTGCTGTTTGAAGTCTTGGTAGAACTGATGATGTATTGCTCTCATGTTTTCTCCTCTGATGGCACGACGGCACCTTCTTATCAGGCAAGACAGAGCGTTGTACGAGCGGTTATCTTTTTCCTTTGCGGCGCGCCTTATTATTTTTTAATGCGGTTACTGGCGTTACTGTTCTAGATATGTACGTTCCCTTTTTCATCGACGATGTTTTAGTGTTAGTACGTGTGTGTGTGTGTGTGTGTGTGCGCGCGCTGCTACGCATAATAACTCCTTTTGTCAAGCAAAAGCTTTCCGCTTTTTTTTTCTTTTTCTTCTTCTTTCCTGCTCTTCTGTTCTCCCTCGTGCGAGTGTGTAAGCCAGTGGCATTAAGTGTGTGTGTGTGTGAGAGAGAGAGTTTAGTTTTCCCCTTTTTTCTTTGTGTCTTTTCGAGCACCAGCAGTTACGTTTGGTGGATCTGGCGAAGCATCACCTTTTGTGTTGTTCTTCTTCTTTGTAACACGGCGCTGAAGTCTGCAGCCAGCGCGCGGAATGGAAGGCACGCCATATACGTGTGGATACAAGCTCCCCTGGGCATTGGCGACCAGCTCCTTCGTAACTCCCCCTCCCCCTCCCCCTCTCTCCCCCTGTACGTTGCCTTCTGCTGTTGATGATGTCCTTGGACGGTGGTGCTGCCTGTTTGTTTGATTTACTTCTTCTCTCCTTTGTGCGAAGGCCGTGTGCAGCGCTGTGCTGTAACCAGTGGTGGTGGTGCATCTATGTCTGTTCGTTTGATCTCTCTTTCTTTATATTTCTTTTTATTTTGTCTTTCTGCTACTAAGGGAGTAAACCGCACGTACTTATGTGCGCTCTCTCTCTCTCTCTCTGTCTCGCTCTCTCGATCGCCGTCCTTTCGTGTTTGCTCCACGTCGTTTCATATCCTTCTTCTGGATGAGTGCCCTCTCCCTCTCTCCCTTATTCTGCTGCCCGTATACGCAGATGTGTTCCGTATTCTCTTCTACGAGGGTTTCCGTCTTGTTTTTGTTCTTTTTTTTGTTTTTTTTTTCTTCATTTATGCATCCGTATATTGTCCTTATGTTAGGAGTATTGTTTTGCTCTCTTTCCCGTTGATGTATGAATGCAGTGACGGAAGGGAGAGAGTGACCGCCCCTCTCCTCTTCGGTAATATTTGAGTCCGTCCGGCCAAGGAGTACTATTCATATGCATGCATACACGCAGCGAGCTGCTGCACTGCGAATGCCGTTTCTGTTTTGTTGGGGTTTTTCCCCTTTCTCTTATGGTTGCGCGTGTTGTTTACCCAACTGAATGTGGTTTCGGTTTTTTTTTCATCTGGTGCGTCTGCCCTCACTGCACGCTAACAACACAACGGAGGGTCACGTGTGTTGACGTTGTTTTCTTTTCTTTTTTCTCCTTGTCCTCTTCGTACGATGCAGCTCGATACGCCACATGCATCTATCGGTGCACGTTCGTCTTCTCCTGTCGATGTGTGAGCCACACAATTCAATAATAAGAAGGAACATATAAAAGAAAACGCATACATAAGACGAGAAGCTCGCAGGGCATCGCATCGGACAGGCCCAACGGCCAGTGTCCTCCCCAGCCTGCAGGCATCACTGCCACGGCGTTGTGCGTCTGTTGTCATCAGGGTTTTGTTTTCTTTCTTACAGACTGAGTACCATGCAGCGCCGGCCTCTCGCACAACGATGCGGTGAAACTGCAGGCACCGTCGTACCAACAAGCATCAAATAGAACGGCTTTCATGCGCTTACAAACTGAACATGGCTGTTTAATTATTCCTACACGTCCTGCCCGCGTCTCTGATTTGTCTCGAGGGGTCTGTTTTTCTTCTTTTCTTTTCTTGGCGTTCACTGCAGAAACAGCCGAAGAGAGCACCTGCATTTGAGCTTCACTTCTCAGCAAACCGACACACACCCACACATACACAGACACACACGAATCACCTCGCGCGGAAGTCACTCAGCGACTTCCCTGCATCGCACAACAACAACAAAAGGAAAAGCCCCGCAAACAAGCATGTCGGACTGCTGGTACATCCCGGAGGAGGTGGCGGACCGCCGTGCGGAGAACCGTCTGTCGCCCAACCAGCCCGGCAGCTACGAAGTCCTCGGCGCGGCAGGGCTCTTCTACCGCCACTTCGACCCAAAAGAAGTCAGCGACGACGTCGAGAGCTTCATCAAGCCGCTGCTGGCGAAGCTGCACTACCAGAGCTACGACGTGGTCAACTTAAGTCCCTCCAGCCTCGGCGCCGAGAAGTTCGAGTCGCTCGCCACGAACCACTTCGCGGAGCACATCCACGAAGACGACGAGGTTCGATTGATCCTCGAAGGCCAGGGCTACTTCGACGTACGCGACGCGCAGGATCGCTGGGTGCGGGTGCTGTCGAAGCCCGGCGACTGCCTCGTCGTCCCCGCCGGTATTTACCACCGCTTCACCACGGACGAGAATAAGTATGTCAAGACGCTGCGCATCTTCAAGGAGAACCCAAAGTGGATCGCGATTAACCGCGGCCCGGAGGCGGAGGAGACGCCAGCGCGGAAGGAGTACCTTGCCCGCATCCACGGCCCAGTCGAAACCGCTGTCGGCCCCGTCAACAACCACAACATCTTCTCCCTCCGCTACCCGGCTACGATGGATGCGGAGCTGACCGCCATTACGAAGCGCCTGCTGGAGCAGCACAGCAAGCAGCCGGCGGCCGTCATGCTCTTCTTGGTCGGCGCGACGGACCCGACAACGGGGGCGTCGTGGTGCCCGGACTGCATCCCGGCAAAGGCGCAGGTTGCGGCGAAGTTCGCGGAGCTGCAGGCGAAGCTGGGCGAGACGCACGCCTTCTTTGTGCAGCTGCCGGTGGAGCGCCCGGGTTACCTCGGCAACCCGGCGTATCCCTACCGCACGCATCCGCTGCTGAAGCTGGCGGGGGTGCCGACGCTGATTGTGCTGACGCCGACGAAGGATGCGAAGGAGAAGGGCGACGTGCAGTGGGTCGATCTGCTGGAGGTGAAGATCTACACGCACGAGGCGAGCGAGGCAGACATTCAGAGTCTGTAGTGGAGCGCTATGCATCCTGGGTACAAAGAGCAGCGAGAAGAGCCGTTAAGAGAGAGGGGAGGGCGGGGGAGATGTGTGGACGAACATGTAAGTGTTCAACGCCTTCTCTCTCTCTCTCTGCCTTTGCTAGTCCTTGCAAAAACAGAGGAGAAGTGAGAATGAACATGGACAGCATGTGGGTGGGCGTGGGGAAAACCGACAACACAGTGAAAAAGGACGAGGTGCAACACTGAAGGCGAGGTAACAGCTTTCTTGTGTGCGTTTTTCTTTTCTGTTTAATCCTTCCCTTTTTCTCTTTCTTTCTGACTCTTTGCGGGTTTTCCTTTCTTAAACTCTCTACTTCTTCTTCTTTTTTACGTGCTTTCCTGGCTTTGCCGTTTTCTTCGCCTTTTCATTTGATACGTTATCCGCAAGCTCTGTCGCTGCTGCTTTTGCTTTTTCTTTTCTTTCTTCTTTCTTCTTCTTCTCTTCGTCTTCTTCCATCAAGGAATCATAAAAAGCCTGTGAAAGCGCTTAGTTTTGTTTTTCCCCTCCCTTGTCTCTGTCGGTTGTTGTCCACCTAAGCCCCCCCCCGCTTTTCTGATAAAGCGATTTTTTTCTATTAAAGAGAAAAACAACAGAACTTGTTAACGGGGCTGTCGCGTTTTTCTTCTCCTTCTTGCGAGTAGTCGGTCCTGTCCTTCCCCCCTCCTCCTCCTCCTGCCACGGAGAGCAGAAGATCACCTGAGCCCTTCAAGAAAAGCAGAGGAAAAACTCTTATCTCCCGTTAACATATATTCATATAAATATTGCCTGATTGTTTAGTGTTTTTAGTTGCCTCGGTGGCAACTTCTATATTATATGAATCTTATTCATTATTGGTTTTATATTTCTCTTCGTTTCTGTGCTTCGCTTCTCTCCCTCTCTCCCGCTGCGTTGGACTTCTCGGTTATGCGGGTGCTGTTGTTTTTTTGTTGTTGAAAGCGCGCCACTGTGAATGGACCCCCGCAGCCTCGAAGTGTCGCCGTTACCACTGCTGTGTGCATGTCGTCGCGCCACAATGGGGATGGGCGCCTTCGCTTTCGGTGGTGCTGCGGGTCCAGTGTGCGCGCGCTTTGCGTATGAGCTACCAGTTTCCCCGTCCGACTCCCTGTGTTTGTGTGAGTGTGTGTGAGTGGTCTTCTTTTTTTTGTTCAAGTGCAGAATCGCTATCCTCGCTTCTCGCGGAGCGGGGGCGGTTTGCTTCGCCTGTATATGGATGCCGTTGGTGCTCCCTTACGGTGGAACGTGAGTCACGCGCAAGCAGGAGGAGTAGAAGATTGTTATGGTTGGCCTTGCGTAGCGAAGGGAGAAAAGCGACAGCTTCAGGACTTGTGATATCCGTTAGCCACGTAGGAAGAGGGAAAGGGAAACCTATTTTGTTTTCTTGTAAGATCAGTGAAAGCGCAAGTGTCCACGTCGTTTATATGAGGAAAGATTGCGGATGAACCGGAGAGGGGAGAGGGAGAATTGCACGCAGAGAGGTGACGGAAGAGGAAGGAAGAACTCGGGAAACAAGAACACCTTATATACATCTTAATAACGAGAACAAGGAAAAATCAAAAAGTTAAGGTGCGGTTCGATGGCAAGACTTGGTGCTCGGGATGCAACCCTGACGATATTCTTGATCATTTCCTGTAGCCATTTCACGACAATTGCCTTTATCACACGTGTCTCTCTTCATAGAAAACTCCGTCTTTGGCTCTTTCTGTGATATCGAAATCCTTAATAATAATAATAGTAATAATAATGGCTGCGATGGAGCAACCCGTAAAGACAAAGGCTCTCCGTATTCTCCCCTTTCTTCTTTTCTTCGCTCTTCCGTTGTTTGCGTGTTGTCGGTGTTGCTGTTTACGCATGGTAGTGCCGAAGGCGGCTTGTCGTAGGATCGGTGTTTTCAAAGAGCTCAACGGTGCGAAGGTAGTTTACCACAATATATTTTATTACTGAATTTCATTCCGCTTTGTTTGGAGTCATGCGGTCGTCTCGGCTTCGTCGTTGGGGATCGCGGAGGCTGCCTCCGCCTTCCATGACGTCGCATTGCTTTTCGCGAAGCCTTCGTTCTGCTGTGCTCGCACGATCCCCTTCGTTGGCGTGCGTCGGGGTCCGTCGGCACACCTCCACCATCCCTCCTCTTCACTCGTCTGCGCAGACGCGGCCTCCATCGCCATCACCGTCACCGTCACAGCAGCCGTCAGCGGAGAGGTGGGCCGCGGCGTTGCCGGATGTTCCCTATGGTTTCCCAAAAAGCTCCACATCGTCCAGCAAGGGCAACAGCGCAGCCACAGTCACACACCCCTTCACCGCCGAGGAGAGCGGCGGGTTGCAGAAGGCGTGGCTGCAGCACCTTCCTCGTCAGCTCGCGACGTCGCAGATGCGCGGGGGGCACTATTTGCCCAATAAGGATGACTTCTGGCGGAGTCCGCCCTACGAAGCACTGCGTGAGATCGTGCTGCGCACCGCCTACCACGACGCGCTGAAGATCATCATGGAGCACGACTACACCTTTTTGTTTTCCGATGTGATGTGCAACGAGCAAGCCCCGATGCCACACGTTGTGTACGAGGACTTTATGAAGGTGCTAACCTTCTGTTCTCGTCAGCGACCGCCGGAGGAGCAGTTCGCGCTGCCGGACAACATCCTGCGTGATCTGCTGTGCTGGGCCGCCTACTATTGCACACTCGACCCCTTCTACTTCACTTCCGCCTCGATGTTTTTTCGCAAGGTGGAGCAGGAGCAGCATCTGAGCCCGGCGCTGCACTCTGCTTGGGTGTACATCTGCACGGCGGCCGGCAAGATCGACGAGGCGCTAGCCTACGCGGTGTACATGGATCAACATCGGATCGACTTCGACCCGGCGGTTTTTGCCCTCATGCTGCACCCCTCTCTCACCCCAGGTCAGCTGCATCTCCGCCACGTCCCACAAACCGCGAAAGGGATCGTGCTGCAGCGGCGGCTTTGCCAGGACATGCAACAGCACCACAGCACCACACCGGTCGCGGTGCACGCCATGTTCGTCTACCACGTGCTCACCCTTCGACACACGCGCAAGTGGGAGGTGCTGCGTGCGGCGGCAGAGTGGAGTCGCGCAGGACGCCAGCAGCACGACTCGCTGGAAAGGGCTCGTCGTGGTCGTTCGCCAGCGACTCGACGCACCGCTGACGCGGCAGTGGCGGGACCGGTCGTATCTGCGGAGGTGATGAGCCCACGCACGGTGCAGCTCGCCATGGCGCTCTGCGGTCGCGAGAAGGCGGTCCGCTGGGGCCCCCGCACGACCAAGGCGATGGTATTCTTTATGTTGTCCGTGACGTCGGCCGGCGCGACCACAGCAGATGTCGTTTTCGTGCTCCTGCGCATTCGACGCAACGAGCGGACCGCGCTGCTGGCCGGGCTGCCGCGTGCGGTGTTCAACGAGGCAGAGCAGGAGGAGCTGATGGCAGTGGTGCGCCGACGTAGTCGTGTCGATCCCGCCTGCGCCGTGGCGGCGCCGCTGCTTCGGGAGCTATTTGCAGCGGGCAGCACCACCAGCAGCAGCAACTCTGAGGCGGCAGTGGAAGGCACCGCATCGTTGCAGCAGCAGCACGGCAGTGATGATGGCATTATGCGTGCGTTGCAGGACCTGCAGAAGTTATCGATGTCCGCCGCTAACAGAAACGACGACGACAGCAGCCACACGCAATACATGAGCACTGCAAGGAGGATCAGCTCAGAGCCCGTATCTTCGGCCGGCGCCACGTATGACGAGATGAGGCGACGCGAGGAGGCAACACTCCTCGAAGACGACGCAGCGGTTTACCCGCTGACTTCCCCCCTTGCATCGGGCGTACACGAGCTGTCGCTGCCTCAGCCGGCGGATGTGGCCCGCGAGCTGCTGGAAGCGGTGATGGCCTTGGACCGGGCGAGTACGCAACAGGACGCGGCAACGAACCTGAAAGCGGCGTCCTTCACGACAGCAGGCGCAGACACATCGGCAAACTCAAACGTGGCCGCCGCATCATCATCATCATCATCATCGCCACCGGGTGAGCAGCTTGCCGCGCTGCACGCGTCGTTGGAAGCGATGGGCACGTCTGCCAGCCTCTCGACGTGGTCGGCGCAGCAAGTGGAGGAGGAGGCGGAGGAGGCACGCCTGCGGGCGCAGGTGAGCACGGCGTGGATTGCACCGACCTACCGGCCTTGATTCACGAAAAGGAAAAGGAAAAGGAGGTGATGTGGACGGGTTTTCTGTATGTGTGTGTGTGTGTCTCTTGCTCGGCTGTTTTGAATGCCTTTCCGCTTAAACCCGCGCATATATATATGTACTTCGTTTTATTAAACTGACGAGAGATTTGGCGTGCTGCGGGAACACAGCACGCTCCGTTCTCACGTCTGTGCACACCAATTAATTCGTATATATATATATATACTATTCGCCTAAACCGAACGATCCAACTTGGTTAACTTCTACACTTTCTCTTTTGTTGTTGTTGTTGTCCATGCTCTGCAAACGCAGTACGGAAAGGGCTTTCAACTGTGACCCACTCATTCATCTTCTGCAGGCGAGAAACGTTGATGTTACTCAGCAAGGCAGGGATGAAACGTGTTCTGTGTAATGCGCCATCACGTAGCTCATCTTCGATTATCCTTCCCTTCCTCTTTTCTCTCTCTCTCCCTTGGTCATGGAACTGTCTATGCACTGAAACTGTACTTCATTATCTAAACAAACCCCCATATATATATAGCATTATAGACTGGAACAAGTTTTTTTACAGTGCTCCAAGCTCTTCTATCATAATTATTATTTTTTCCCCTTTTTACATCTATTGATCTCTCCTTTATCTCAGTAACTTATTCCTATTGATTGCTCCCTTGCTCTTTTTGATATTTTTGTGATTGGGCCGTACTTGGGCCCGCTGCACATTAGCGGTGCTGATCGTCGATCATTTTCTTTTTCGAAGTTTTCATCTTCTCCAACTCCTGCGATCGTTGGCAGTTCGTCTTCGTCGTCGTCGTCTCCTCCGACGTTCTCGGCGCATTTCACCTCTTTTTTTTGTTTGTTTGCACGACAACAAGATTTGAAGCGTCGCAGACGAGAAGAGCGCAAGACGAACACAACAAGACACAGCTCCGGAGAAGCTAAAGAAAGGAAAAGGACAGGCTTTGTTTTTTTTTTCTATTTCTCTCTCTCTCTCCCCTCTCCTCCTTCACCTTTACACCCCCATCAGAGAGTGAGAGAGGAAGCTCGTGCACCACGAGCCGTTTGTTTTTTTGGGGTCAATTCGCCGCTTACTCCTTCTTCCTTCTTTCCTTCTTGCCTTCTTTGTAATTACAGCTGCGAACGTACAGAAGCGGTGACACAGTTGGAAAAGAAAGGAAAAAAGAAAAGAAAAGGAGTGAAGGAGTAAAGAAGAGCTGATTTGCACGAGTGACGCTTCACTACGACCACACTCTTCTTCTTCGTCTTTTCCTTCTTGGTTTCGACTTCTCGCCGCACCCCGAGCAGCGCCGTCTTTTCTCTTTCATGTTTTGTTTGTTTTCCTTCTTCTTTTTCCTTCCTCTCTTGTGAAAAGGCACCATCTCGAATACTCTTCCCACCTCTTCTCCCATTTTCCAACGGCCATCTGCTTCCTCTTTATTGTTGCTGTGGTGTGCGTGTGTGTGTGCGTTTAACGCCTGCACTCGGCCTCAGCTCTCGTTTGCCCCGTTGCCTTCGCCGGTTTCAGCACATCGAGTGTTTGGTAAGTTCATTTGCTTTTTTTTCTTCTTCTTCTGTGTGCAGACAGTCGTGGGAACGATCTTTCCGTCACTTGAACTGGAAGAATCACGAGAACAGTATATGTAATTTTCTTTGATAAAGCATCATTTTCTGTTCATTTTATTATTATCAGAGTGTACTCTTGTGTGTGTGTGTTTTGTTTTCTCTTTTCTCTTTCTCCCTCTCTTTGTGCTTTACTTGTTTGTTCTCTTTCTTCTTCCTCTCTTCCTCTTCTACAGCTCTGCTGCTTTTGTTTTTATCACTTACCAGTGTATTTTCGGTTCCTTCTTTTCTTCCCTTCATCTTATTGATTATTATTATTATTAATGAATTCTGTTGTTACTACTCCTGTTCTTCACGTTTGAATTGCACGACTCTTTTTGTGTCCTGTGTTTGTCGTACCATTGATCTCTGCTGGTCAGCGTGTTTTCGCGTTATCTTCCCCTCTCTAACCAAAAAAAAAAGAAACGAAAAAATTCTTTCTCTTTTCACTTTTTACTATTGTATGCTGGAGGTGCTACCCCACTGATAAGCTGCAGTCAAACATCGAATAACACGTACATACTTACATTGTTTTGTTTTCTTTTTGGAAAGACCGTGTGCCCTCGAAACGCAGGTTGAGAGTATTAGGAATACATCAATAATTGCTGTCATTGCATTGGCTTCCTTTCTCTTTTTGTTTTTAACTTACTTTCTCAAGAGGACAAAAAAGGTTGATCTCGCTGTTGTTTTTTCCACTGTAAATATCACATATATATGCAGTGTACAGCTCTATAATCGGCTGCATTTTATTATTATTCTCATTAAAAGAACCCCGTTTCTCCCTCGCCTCCTCCTCCTTCTCTTGTGTTTCTGACAGTTTCCCTGTGACGGAGTTAAAAAAAAAAACACGCATCAGCGCTCACTCACGCCACGAAGAGTTTTTTTTTCTTGGAGGATTTCTTCAGCTTTCTTTGCTTTTTCTTTTTCTCTCTCCCCCACCTGAAGTCTCTTCTGTTTCTCCAGCTGCATCCAAAAAGAAAGCTATTAGTAGGCCATATACATATATATGGTTGTCACGTCGCATCCTCTGCGACAGCACACACCCTCAACCAAAAAAAAAAAACTCGATCAAAAATTGACTCCTCCTTTCCATCTTTCCTTGTTCCTTTTCTCGACGGGGCTGAACGTGTTCGCCTCATCTCCTCGTTCGTTTCCGTTTCTACCACTACTCCTGCCTTCTGCTTTCTTCTTCTTCTTTTTTTCCAAGTGACTCTTTGTAATAGTTCTGTTTTTTTTCTTTGGTTTCTTTTTAAAAGGGAAGAATATCCTGACATCGACAGCAACGATCCATACATTGACCGGCTCGTTCTCCCTCCCCTTTCCCTCCCTCTTTTCTTTGTCTCCGCGTGTCTGCAGTTTGTCTCCACGTGAACCTGCAGTGTCCTTCACGTTGTTGTTGTTGTCTTTCTTCTCGGCACGCTACACCTTTTCTTCCTGTTATTTCCGTTGTTGCTCCTTCAAAAGGAATCAAAAAAAAAAAATCCCGCCGTTTGTCTTCTTTCTTTTTTATATATTTTCCGTTAACGCGCGGAAGCAAAAAAGGAAGACTACTGAACGGCAGCATCCAATAGTAGAGAAAAAGGAGGACTGTTCTTTGTCGCCAAACTCTTGTTTCTGACTTTCAGAGATTCTTCTGTTCTTCTTTGTCACCCATTCCGAATCCGTTGTATAGATTCGCCACACACGTACATACGCGTAAAACCTTTACCGATCGTTGTGGCCTTTTAGTGGTACTTGCTTTTTTTTTTTTCACTCTCTCTTTCACAGAAGAAATTGTCTTCCCTCCTCCTATTTTTTTTTCCCCCTTCTGCTCTCTTGTCTTTTCGCTTCCGTGTTTCACGCACGCGTTCAATACTTTCTGGTATTTCCTGTTATCATTGTGTGTGTGTGTGTGTTTGTTTGTTTTTTTCTATTCCATCGCTGTATATACCGCCCCATATTGGCTGCGTGATACCTCTCTCTCTCTCTCTCTCTGTGTGTCTGTTTGTGTGTGTCGAGGGGCGTCTCTCTGTGCGCACACCCACCGTCAACACCCCGGGGGAAAAAAGAAACACTGTCGAATCATAGCAAGGGAAAGAGAAAAACCAACGGCAGCAATTCTCCATTTGCTTTTCGAAACACATTCGGTTCTGTCTTTATCGTCTGTTGCCTATTTGTTTTTATTAGTAGTAGTGTATATAATTTAACGGTGCGAAGCTAACCAAAAGAAGGGGGGGGGGCTAAATACTGCTACACAGATAAACTGCTCACTTGGGCTTCATTTTGTTTTTCATTTTTCCTTTTTTTTTCATCTTCTTCCACAAGAGGACGTTACAATTCCGTTGAACCTGTGCGACAAAAACCTCCTCTTCTTTCTCCTTTCTTCCAGTGAGATTTGTTTTGTTTGTTCCTGCAACACGTCTGCAGCAGCCCAAAGAGCATCTCAGCACGCCGTCTATTTTTTCTCTTTTGTTTTTGGAAAAGATTAGTAGTGATATTGATAGTGCTTGCAAACGTGCGAAAGACATGGACGCGCTGCGCAACACCTTTTTGGAGTGGCTGCACACGACGTCGCCGGACGACAGCTGTGGTGTCCATCTCGATACTTGGAGTCCGCCAGAGGCTTCCGATGACAGCGGGGTCCACAGCAAGCGACACCCTTCGGGTGAAAACCGCCTTGTCTCCACGTGGAGCTCACGTCGGTACCGTGAAAGTGGATATCACAACCACCACCAGCTTCAGCACAGCACGAACCTCGGCCGTTCGGCGGCCTTCACCGGCAGCTATCACAGCATTCATGACGCCGCCAACAACGAAGACTACGATGAAAAGCGGCACTTACGGGTGGCTCTCCGCTCTTTTGTCGAGGCCGCGGCCGTCGGCGGTCGGGCCTCCGGGGACCTACAAGACCGCAGCCTCTCTTCCCAGCGCGTGCCCCTCTACCGCACCTTTTCTCCCGGGATGCGTGAAGATGAGGAAGACAGCGAGTTCGACAGTGAGGAGGGCAGCGACGTCCAGCTGGGCACGCGCGGAGCGTCCAGCAGGAATGCCGCTGCTGCTGCTGCTGTATCAGGTGATGCCGTAGCTGGCGGCTCCCCACAGAGCGCCGCCGCGCACGGCCGTCGCAGCGATGATAACTTCAGTGATGCGTCGATGACGCCGTTGCAGCTGTCGATGGCGTTCATAGAGGCGCGAACGGCGGCTGCGGGGACCAACAACAGCAGGAGCATCCAACCGACGCCATTCGTCACACCCGTGAACCCCGAAACCGCAGACACGCCGCCGCCAACCTGCGATGCCTCATTCAAGTTTCTCCGTCGTCACTCCTCTACCTCTGCCGACTACTGCGTCGAGGAGGATGGGAATGACGATAGCAACAACAGCAGCCTACACGTGCCCGCCGGTGTGCAGACGCTGCTCCGGCCTTCTCTCCTTCCTGTGTCCACATCTTCTTCGCCACCGCCGCATGATGGTGGCAGTGCTGCAGATGCCGCCCACCGCCCTCCTCGCCACCTCGTCCCCCTTCGCGAGGTCTTGGCGGATAATCTCAGCGAGGACGACATCAACGTGCCGGATGCGAGCGCCTTTGCGTCTACCACCGCGGCGGCGGCCGGCGAAGATAAGGAGAGCGATGAACGGTACGAGCAGTCGGCTGGTGACGACGAGCGGGGGGCGGACGCGTCTCCACGGAGGTTGTCAGTCTCGATGGCCATTGCGTTGGTGACCGCGAACCTTCGCACGAATTCGCGGAGCAGCAGCGGCAGCGGTGGCAGCAACGTGAACGCTGATGACATGTCAGCTCTCGCCTCCGCAGCGGCCGCAACAGCCGAAGAAGCAGCAGAGCACCATGAACCTCCAACGGTCTCCACTACCACAATCACTGCCGCGGCAGCAGCAGCAGCAACTGCAGCCCTTTCGCACCTCAACACACCCGTCACTGCGTACAAGAAGGGGTCCATGATGCAATACCACGCCTCGCTGATGCCGGACGACCACGTCGCCGCGCACGTCCTCCCGTCAGTCGCCGCAGCGGCGGCCGCAGTGGAGCACGGTAAAGCGCCAACAGTCACGCCCACGACGACTACCCTGGCCGTGGCCGCAATCACTCCTGCACCCGCCTCATCTACTCGACATCCTCTGCTCATTCCACAGTCGCACCGCATCGCGCACGACATCACAGGGCGATCGGCGCTGCTGCGCGCCGACTTGCACTTCAACGCAGCGCCGTCGATGGCGCGGCTGCCGGCTTACTCCTCCGCGCACACTCCGCTGCACCCTGCGACGACCCTTGAGGGCCTTCCCTATGTTGCGAGCTCGCTGACGGGTGCGGGCTTGAGTTCTGTGCCGCAGCCTTTTGGTGCCTACCCGTATCAGTGGATGATGGCGGCGGAGCAGATGGGCAGCGGGGTCAACGGGATCGGCGGTGGCAATCCAAGTACCGAGGGAAGCTACAGCGCCGCCTCGGGCCGCGTGTCTCCTGCCGCGTTCTCGCATCTGTCGTCCTCGTACGGGATGGCGTCCACCGCCACGCCGGCCACCATGGCGAGTCTGCACAGGTCCGCCAGCGACGGCCAGTTGTATGCGACCTCTGCTATGGGACGTCGACAGGTGTGGTGCTGACAAGGCAAAAAGGTATGATCCACGCCGGTTCCCTCCTTGCATGTGTCGCTTTGAGTGTTTTGCTTTGCGTTTTCTATTTTCTCTTCTTCTTCTGTTTTTCCAGCGCACTTCCCGTTCGTCGGATGAGACGAAGTTTTTTGTGTTTTTCCACTTTTTTCCTTTTCCTTTTCGTTGGTTAATCGTGTCTGTGAGGATGCCTTCGTTTACCCCTCAGAGTGCTGGTATAGCCAAAACCCGTGAGTTACAATGGATCCGTTGCTCCGCCCGTCATTCACTGCGTTCGTGAAGACAACACCTTCCTCCTCTTTCACACACGTCCACGTACGAAACGCCAATTACCTCTTTTTTTTTCTTGTTCTTGTTCTCCTTTCTTCTCCTGTCTTCTCCGTCGCCTCAGTTCTTCCTAAAAGCTGATCCTCTTGATTCGTGAACCCGCACCGATGTTGTAGTTGTTGCTCTCCTTCTCTTACAGCGAGGTAGCCGTGGTTGCCCCGCTCTCGCTAACGATAACTACAATTAATATGTATATATGAACATTCATAGCAATGCAATGTTGTGTGTGTGTGTGCGTGTGTGTGTTTTTTTTTCTCGATTTTTGGAGCTGCTGTGTAGATGTTGTTTTGCAGACGCCTTTTTTTTCTTTCTCTTCTCGTGTTTTTCTTTGTGTCTCCTTCTCTACTGCTGTTATTCACCTGCGAAAGAAATGCTGTGTGTCGGTCCGCATGGCCGGAAGAAGTGAAAGCGGTTACTTGTATTCATTCAAGTATTGTTACTGTTGTTTTCTCAGACGGTCAATTCAAGCACACACACACACACCTCAGTGCCGTGTTGCACACCAGTGGTCTCCCATCTGAGCACCCACGCTATTCTTTGATGTTCCTTTGTTGGAATCGGCTTTACTTTGCTTGTTTTTGTTGTCGATTTCGAGTTTATTGTCCCCTTCTCTCTCTCGCTCTCGGTTGATGGGCGCGAATGATCTACGGAGACGCCTTTTAGGGGGGTTGCTTGTTTTTTTGTTTGTTTTTCATAGCTCTGGCGTGCGTTTGTTTTAGGGTTTACTCGCACCACGGTCGTTTACCCTTTGCTCAGCTCTGGACACACAAGAGTGGAGAGGAGAAACCAAAAGCTGCAGAAGAAAAACAAGAATAATTATACTAATAGTAATAATAGGAATCGCTTCATTGAAGGGTGTGCCTTGCACGCCCTAGTCTCTTCCTCTACTCATCTATATGTTCTTTTATTTTCTTTTTTGTTTAGCTGCTGCGTCTTGTCTGACTCCCTTCCTCCCCTTCAGCCATACGGCGCTTGTCTGCAGCTAACGAGAAAAGGGGAAAAAGATAGTGTTTTATTTTTCTTTTGAGCTCACATTCTCCCTCACTCTTTAAAAGGATAGCAGTCGAGTCGATCGATATTGCAACGCATGTGAATGCCGAGCGAGGTAAGAGAATTGTGGCGGTAACTTCTTTGCATGTATTGTAAAGAAGAAAAGAAAAAATCAAAAGGATAATTGCGCGTTTCACTTACTGAGGCTTGTAAAGCTTGTTTTTTAAAGCACCAAAAAAAAGCCATCATTCTTTTGTTTCTCTCCAGTGTTTAGATAAATGGACAAACATTTTTCATCACTTCATTGTAAGGTACCGTTTTTAACTTAGGCGATTACTCACCGTGTGTGTTTGCGGGTGATGCTATTGTGAAACACTTTTTTTTTCTCTTTATGTTTGTTTGTTTTTCATTGAATGCGTGTGATAGTGTTGACGACCTTTTTTCGTTTGTTGGTTCGTTGTTTTGTTCTCTACTCGCAGGTGCCATCTCTTTTCTGCGGTGCTCCGGCGAGATGAGCGTCCACCATTTGAAGAGGTGCTTTCCGATGGTTGGTAACTCTGCACCTTATCATCGTTTATTTCTTCTCTTCGGAGGGCAGCGCGCTTGTGCGTTGGCGTCTTCCTTGTGTGCGCTTTTCCCTAGAAGTTTGTTGATGCACAGCGGAAAAAACTGTGAACTGAACAGCACAGAGAAGAAGAGGAATAACTTTTGTTGTTTGTTTGTTTTTGAGGAAAGGTAGACTTTGTTGTTTCGCGCGTTACTTTTGGCATCGTCCATATTGCTTGATATACATATATATATATATATATACGTATATATACGTTTTTAGCGAAATCGTCTTCTTTTTCTTTTTTCTTATTTCTTCTCAAAGAAACAAAATACAAAACTACGTTCTCCCTCGTGAAGCGCAGCGGTATACACGTCTTCACAGATCGCCTCGAGCGGGGTGCCACGGACGGTCACCACTCGTATGAAGCACACTCTTTGTGTGTGTGTGTGTTTTGTTGTTTTTTCTCATGCTTTCATGATCCTCTCATGTCAATTCGTCATGCTCGTATATATATTAACTTCGCTGAAAGCAGAAATACGATGCCGATTCGCACACGATATTGATGCTGGAAAAACTTATTTCTTGTTTTAGTGCGAATTGCGCACTCCCGACTCTCTTTCTCTCTTTTTTTTTTATCTCTCTTTCTTCTGAAGTTGTCTGGTGGCGTGGAGCAGAGCGGCAACCGGCTCCGCTGCCAGGCAACTCTATACAGTTCAATGACCAAATAATGCAATTTGAAAAGGAAGAAAAACCCTTCTTCGTGCGTACGAAGTGTCCGCTACTACTCTCTTTTCTATTCGCTCCCGCTTTGCAGCAGAAAGTAAAAGGGCAGTAGCTTTCGCCTGTGTTTTACAGGGAGGCTTTGACGGGAAGCTTTACGGTATCGCCCGACAACTCTGGCGAGTGGCACGAGAGAAAAGCAGTCGGCTGTTTTCCCGTTATACATATATATATATGTACATGTCCGGTGTGTGTTGACGTGTGTGTGAAGGACAAGCTCACAAGAGGCTGTGTGTGAGTGCGGCAAACGATGTAAACGCGCACTATCTCCTTCTTTCCTCTCTCCTTTCTTCTCTCTTTCTCTCAATACTTCTGACAAGATGAAAAACAAAAAACAAGAACATATATTTTTATTTGACTTCCCTGTTTATGCAGCCCGACCGACTTTCCAACCCCCTATCAGAGCTCGTCCTCGTTGCCCTCAACGGATCACATTCCTCATTACACGAAGAACAAATACCTCGCCCGGTATAACGCCCTTTTGTTTTCCCCCTGTCCTCTTCGCGATAGTCAGCACTACACACACACACGCACCTCTGGAGAACAGTGAAACCTGTAACTTTTCAACTGTTTCTTTTCCTGTAAGCTTACTCTAGCGTTTTGATTGCCACTCATCAGTGCAACGCACAATCGCTACTATTGTTGGTATTCCTCTTCTATCTCCGTGTCTTCTTCTTCTCCAAACACCAAAAAGGAACTTCCTGTCTGCCCATCAACCCGATGCGGTCTCTTCGACTCGGGGCCGTGTACGGCGGCAACTCGCTGCTGCAGCGGCCTGTCAGCTCTGCTGTCTCGCCCTCCCCGGCTATCATTCCGGAGTGCCGTTTCGTAGCTTCTCCCGCGCCCTCCGCTCCCGGCGCCTTCACTCGCGCAAAACCCACGACAGTGGCCCTGGCCATAACGTGGGGTCGGCGCTGGTACGCAACGGCAGCAGCAAAGCCTGCGTCTACCCCAGCAGCTGCCACTCCAGCGGCAACAACGTTTTCCCGCCTCTCCACGGCGGCGGAGGCGGCGGCGGAGCTTCAGCGTTGGGTGGGCTCCGTTTCTGACATTGGCACCGCCACCACCACCTCTGATGGTACCCCTCCGCTGGTTCTTTCAGGTAAGTCGCTCGTCCTGTGTGTGACTGCTCTGCAGCTGCGTGAGGCAGAGCACACGATCCAGCTGAGAAGCAGTCGCACCATCAACGGCAGTAGCAACAGCGATGCGAAGAGTGGCAGCGGAGCCGCAGCACCGCCGTCGCTTGTCCAGCAGTACCTGACAGCGCTGGCGCGCCACGTGTACGTGCACTGCAACGCCGGCGGCAAACCACACGCGGCCTGGCAGATTTTCGCAGACGTGGAGAAGAACGCTCTTTGCGCTGACGTCCTCTACACCGCATTACACTTCCTGCAGCACCACGCCTTCGACGGTGCGCCGCAGCCGGCGAGTGCACGCCACAGCGAAGGCGAACAACAAACTCCCGCGGACTACGACGCCAAGTGCGCCGCGCGTGATTTGGAAGTGACGTTTGAGGCGGTCGAGGTGCTGCTCGCGGGGTGGCAAATCGCGGAGGTCCACCGCGTGGCCGCCGCCGCCGCGGCCGTCGGATCGCCGTCGACGACCGCCGCAATGGTCCCGGCGGCGGAGGCGGCAGCGTTTTACATCGGCGCCGTCGTGCACCTCGCCCACGCCCCGCTAGGTTGCGGTGCGACTCCGCCGGCAGCAACCACCACCACCACAGGAACAGCCACAACTCGCCCCTCTCCCTTCCTCACCCTGCCACCGGCGAAGCAGCAGTACTGGCAGCAAGCCGCCCAGCAGCTCACCACGGTGCTGTACCTCGCGCTGCTCGTCACCAACACAAGCACGACGGACGCGCTGCTCGTCAATCAGGCTTTTCGCGGTGCGGTGCGGGCGGCGTACGACGTCCCCACAACTCGCTTTGGTGTCGTGCGGTCGATGCATTATATGGTGACGGTCGCAGTCCCGTACGTGGCGCGCAGCATGTCGACGATCCTCGACGTCGTGCGTGCGCAGCAGACGGAGGCGGCGAGGGCGGCGGCAGCAGCTGTCAAGGCGACGCAGCAGCAGCGAACGTTGGCGGATACGTCGAAGAGAGCGATGCCCACGTTTGCGCAGAAGGGTAGGGGAGGCGAAGGACAGAGAGAGGCTGCAGCAGGTGGTGGGGGTACGGGGAGATCGTCGGATCGGATGAACAAACTTACTTTAGTGATTGTCTGCGTCGCTGCGGTGGTGTATATGGCGTCGTCGAACACAGAGCTGTTGTGGTGGTCCGCCGGCGACACAAGCCCGAGTGCGGACAAGGAAGAACAGCAGGCGAGTGAGCTCCACCAAACCTACCAGAAGCTCTCCGCCATGGCTACCTCGGCCACAGCGCCGCAGATCGTGCCGGGCGAGGAGCCGGAGTCGCTTGTGAATGCCCTGCAGAGGAAGTGATTGCCGTGATACGGACAGGTATAAGGGGGAACGAGGAACAGATGAGGATACTGTTGTCTACTAATACTGTTTATTATCACTATTGCAGTGAAGAGGAGTGTCGTGTTCTGCGGCCGCTGAACTCCTCGTTCCTTGCTGTTGTCAAAAGTCCATTTGTTTGGAGCACGTTTTAATGGCGGCGGAATGGATGGAGCGTTGCGAGGAAGCGTACAGTGAAGCAGTACACAAAGTGCAGAAGAAAACGATTGCTGTCGACGCAACCCCGCAGTCACATAATTTTATTTTTGCTGATATTTCTTCAGTTAGCAAATGGAGACACCAATCAAAAAGAAGGATGCTTCGCGTGTGTTCACTTCTAATGTACCCGAAATCGTCACGCAAAAACTGGCCATTTGTCTTGTTTTTCTTTGAGGCTTCCGCGTGCGCTCTGCCGAGTCCGCTGTCTCGCGTTAAGCAGAGAATTCTGGAGAGAAAGAAAAAAAGGCTCCGTTCTCGTCGCGCGACCCCCACGCTGTCTTCGGAATCAATTATGTTAGCTGTCTCACGTGTTTTGGTAGAAAGCGGAGGAAAACCATGCAATGCTGGTTACGACGGAAAAAATTGCGAAACCCCTCTCTTGATGTTTCTTCTTCATTTTCTTTCTCTTTAATTTCATATATACTATTTCCTGTAAGATGACTGCGATGACGCCGCTTAGCGTGTTACTGAACGTGACGGGTGACACAGCCGAAGGTTTTAGTCGAGATACACGTGAAGCTATTCAGTGTTTCCAAAAAGGGAAAGAGAAAAATATATCACCTTAGCGTTCTTTGTTTTCCCGTTTGCTGCCTCTGCGCGCTCTTCATTATACGATCCTCAACTGCGCAAACTGCCTCTATGATGACCTTACACAAGATGCTTTTTTTATTCCTAACAAAACGACTGAAGTGTTGATTGATGTACCGCTATGTTTTTTCCAAACTGTTTCTGAGAGGTGTGTGTGTGTGTGTGTTGGTTGCCGGCGCTTTGCGTCGTCTTGATAGCTGACCAACTGCTCGTACATTTCTGTTCGGCGATATCTAGAATGACTGCTCCCGTTTGTTCTCAGCAGGCGGACGTGACGGCGTTGAAAGGCGCGAAGGGGGAGAAGAAGAGAGGAGAAAAGAGACGCCTGTGTGATGAGATCGAAACAGTGTATTTCTAACAAAACGACTGACCTTACGTTGTTGATGCATAGCTTTTTCCTATGATTATCTGACGGTGTTTGCTTGACTACTGGCCTCTGTGCGCTTCTCTCCCTGTGAGTCTGTGAGACTGTCTGTGTGTGTGTGTGTGTGTGAGTGTGTGTCACTGCGTGTCCGTCACAACGTACCTCTCATCTGGACAGACGCACCCTCGATGAGGGGGAAACGGTACTTCTGCTTGTGCGAAATCGTAAACGATTGCGGTGTGCTGTGCACTTCATGCTTTATGCCTCTTAATATGTTTTTTCCCCCGCCTGACGTTGCCGACAGAGCAGCTGATGGAGAGCTCATCCTCAGTTAGTGGGTGCGGGGACGATACATGTGATGACACGATGGCGCATCGCGTACAGTCCACACTCCAGAAAACAAAAATAATAGTGATAATAAAAAATTGTCGGCCTGCGCCGCAAAGGGAGGGAGGACGGGAGCTACTACTTCTCGCATCTCTACAGACACGCAACAACAATGTATATATATGCATCGATGACTGGATCGTAATGGAGGGCAGGGCGAGCGATAACTCCCTCTCCGGTTTACTGAACCGCGTTTAATTATTTTTATTATTTATTTTGAAGCTTTTAGGTGTTGCTGTTAAGGAGGAGCACGACCTGTTACTCCCCGCCACTTCTCCTTCCCCCTTTCACACTACTCTCTTTACTCCTCTTACTCACTCACCCAAGCACTAACACGGCACCACATCCTGGAAATTCCGCACGCGTGTGCGCAGGTATCGCCCTTTGTCCCTCTCCGCGTTCTCGCCTTTCTTTGAAACGCAATAAATAAGGAAACGCACAGCAGCACTTCGGAGCGATGCCGCGATGGTCGCAGGCGTCCGTGGTGACGATTTCGGGCTCTGCCTTTGACATCGACCTGCCGGGACTGGCGGCGGCGGCTGTGCGAATTTACTTCTGCGGCCACCCCGCCAGGTCCACCGGCATCGTTAACCTGCGTCTCCTCCTCGGCGATCACGGGTACGTGCTAGCCGAAAAGCGTCGCGTGAAGGCGGTCACGGCAGACGACGGCGAGACGGCGGAGGACAACGACAGCAACAACGATAATGCAAAGAAAAAGCAGGGGAAGAGAAGCGTGGCTGACAACGACGCGGATAGCTCCAGCACCACGGCAGACGGCGAGAGCGGCACCAACGTGCATGACGAAAAGAAGTCGTCGCACAGCACCTATCGATTATGCTCTTCGGAAGGGCTGCCACCGGGGTGCTTCCGTGTAAAGCATGATCGGCACTACTGGGTGATGCGCGCCGGGGATGGCGTGGCGCCGGCGCAGACGCCTCATCCGCGGCCCACAGAAGAGCAGCTTCTTTCCCTTTCCGCGCCTCCTAGTGCTGTGTCGCAAACCCACGTCGACGCAGTGCGCATCGATCTCAAGAAGAAAGGGGAAAAAGAGGGGCCCGAGGAGTCGGAGAAGCAGCCGAGCCGGCGCAAGAGGTCCCATCATGCGAAAGAGGTGGATGAGGAAGAGCGCACGTCTGCGAAAACGGCGCGGGTGGATCACCGCCCTCACGAAAGTGCTGTGGAGGCCGCAGAGGCAACACGGCGACCCGCAGACACAGCAGCAAATGTAGCTGCCGGTGCCGTGGGAGATGTTGTGGGAGATGTGGAAGCTACGCTGGCTGAACTGTTTTTCTCCTCCGCCTCCCTGGCTCCTTCTACAAAACCATCCCCTTCTGCGCTGCCCTCAAAGACAGCAGCAGCAGCAGGAACAGGAACAGCGCCACATGCGGTAGCCGGGGGTGTGGGTGAGGCACCGCAAAAACCTGCGGCGGTGAATAAGACGAAGAAGGGCGTGACCCAAACGGATGCAGAGAGAAGTGCGGAGGAGAGTGCGGAGGCCACACCGCCTCCCCTGCCACGGCGTCGTGGTCGTCGCGGTGCCGTTGCCGTGGCGCAAGAGGAAAACGAAGCGGCGTCTGCAGCGGCAGACACGTCCACGAGACCTCTTGAGACGCGCAGTTCCACGGTGAACAGCGACGTCATCGGGTTGGCGGGAGAGGAGTCTGCGTCCCTCACGGAGAAACATCAGCACAAGGGGAAGAAGAACGAGAAGCGGACGGATGAAGTCGCCGCCCCTGAAGAGCCGCCGCATCGTCATCAGCGACAGCCAGAACAGCCGGAGTCGACGCCGCTGCCTCGCAACTCGGGAAAAGCAGTTAGTCCTCCGTCCCCCTACGCCGCTCCGATGCTCAGCAACACGAAGCAGGACGCGTCAGCCCGCAGGCGCCGCCCCGTCTCTCCATCGCCGTCGCCGTCGCCCCCTCTGGTCGATTCCCCGCCGCCTCGGCTGGCCACCCCGCCGCCGCCTCCCGCTGCGATCCCGCCGGTGGCCCTCCCGAGGAACACGACAGAGCAGAAGAAGACACGGAAGCCGGCCCACAAGGCGCTGACCTCGACTGTGAGCCCCACACAGGAGGTGGAAGCGGGTGAGAAGCAAGCGGTGTCCTCCGCCACGCCAAAGACGGTCGCAGCCGCAGCGACGGCAGCAGCATCGGCGTGGAGGTCGGGCAGGTTGGAGACTTTCGCAGACGCCCTGCGCACCCCGACGCCATCTCCACCGACCGCTCGCTCTCCTGCACTTCAGTCGCCGCTGCCACCGCCTGTGGCGCCACCCACTCCGCCGAAGTCGGGTTTGTTGTCGACTGCTGGCCAACGCCACAGCGCAGACACGACGCCGCAGCACGGCCGACACCGAAGCCGCCCCAGTGGAGCGAAGACGACGAGTCCAACATTTATGTACAGCAATCGAAGCAGCGGCACAGTGGCCTCTCGTCAGGAGCAACTGCCGCTACCGTCGTCGTCTTCGACACCTGCCGCAGCCCCTGCAACTGGCATCCGCTCCACGAGCAGCAGTGCGCGTCTGGCGCCCCTCACCTCCCCGCACCTCCGGCAGCATCAGCAGCAGTTTTCCCATCGAGGCAGCAGCAGCAGCGTGAACAACAACGGTAACCACAGCGGCCATGGCGGCTCCTTGCAACAGAGCGACGGCGGCAGTTTCTACATGATCCCTCAGGACAGCCCCGCGCTGGGCTTCACGCAGGTGCACAACACACTAGCGGAGGAGTTTAGTCTGGACCCGTCGGCGAGCGACACGTCGTCGACCGTCTCGGAGTATTTGTATGACGTGGAGGGTTGAGAGGCGTGTGTTGGGTGCAGTTATCAAAGGCCCATCGATGTGCTCTCTTGTCTGATTCTTTTTACTGTTGTTTTGTCTGTGCAGGTTGTTGTTGTTGTTGTTTTTTTTTAAGATCAGCGCGGGGGGCTTCCATTTGCGGTGTTGAAGGGACGTGTATTTGCAGCTTTGACGTTGCTGGAGTCTGCTGCACAGACACATATCAACTGCATTGGCACGATCAATACTTGTCGTGGTTGATGATGATGTTTTTTTTTTTGGACCGTGTCGTAGAGAGACGTAAGTATAATCATCCGGATGTGCATGAAAGGCGGAAATACCGCCGTACGATGGCGTGTGGCGCAAGCAGGAGGTGCAACGAAGCCGCCAACGTGTGGTGGTGATGTGGTTGCTGTGTGTTTTTTTTTTTCACCTCTCTAATAAAGAAGAAGCGTCGCTTTACCTGGAGGGTGTTGGATGTGAATTCTGTGTTGTTGTTGTTGTTTGTTTTTTTTTTCTTTCAATACCACGAAGCAAACAGGAACGCGAAATGCTGCAACGGTGGCATCATCCTCATCATCGTTTAACGCTCAAACCCCCGTGGATTTTTTTCCCGTCTTTTTCATTTGAGCTTCTGTACCGTTTGGCCGCCGCTCTTTCTTCTTCTCTCTCTCTCTCTCGCTCACTTTCTGTTGGCTGTTCGCCCTGTTCGTCGTTGTTCTCACGCACGCTCCGCTTGCAAGTCGAAAAGTTGTGTTTGGTCAGGAGTGCAGCGAACTGGTATTTTGCCTCTCTGCTCCACTCTTCCTAAAACGGGGGCTTTCAGTACATAAAATAAAACAACAATAGCACCTGCACCAATTCCACCATGAACAGCGCGCTAGACCCCGCACGGGCGCCGCAGTTTCTCGACTCGATGCTGCGACGCAACCGCATCGTCCTTATCTCCGCCACCTACTGCCAGTTCTCCACGAAGCTGAAGATGCTGTTTATTGAGCTGAAGCACCGTTTCGTCTCGCTGGAGATCGACATCATTCCGAACGGGCGTGAGGTGTTTCAGGAGGTGGTCGCGCGCACCGGCGTCCACACGGTGCCGCAGGTGTTTCTTAACGGCAAGTTTCTAGGCGGCTACGACGACGTTGTCGCGCTCTATCGCAAAGGGGAGCTTTCAGAGACGCTGGAGAAGCGTTAAAAACGGAGGGGAAGAGGAAGAGCGCTGGGCTTCGGATGTACCTTCGCAAGCAATTCATGACCCGTCATCGTCGTTGTAGTACGTGGCCTTTTTTCTTTCTTTCTCAGTATGATCACATTTCCTGTTGTTGCCGGCATTGGGGTTGTTTTTTGAGGGGAAGAGGGCGGTGGGACGCGTTGTACTGCTGTTGCTCCCGTGCCCTTTCTGTACGCAGCACGTTCTCGTACTGCCAAATTGGCTGTTGTTGGTGGTGGTGTCTTCTCAGGATGATCGGGGGATGCACCGTCCATGCCGCCGTGGACGTCGTGTTGCCGTCGTTGTGCTTCGCGTTTTTTTTTTCTCCGCCGACAACTGCGGTAACGCGTGTGTGTGCGTGTGTGTGACTCATCGAGTTTATGGTTCTTCTCGCTCCTTACGTACTAACAAAGTGAAAGGAACTTATATTATGAAAGCAAAGGATGCCATTTAAGGTAAACGCCATGACCACAACAACACGGTTTCAACAATGGTTGCCCTCTTCCTTTAAAAATGTCTTCTCAAACCCCAACGCACTTCGGTCGCTACGGGAAGGACTCTTTGCTTTCCTTTTTTATTATTATTTTTCGCCAAAGCAGTCGCACGTACTCGCGGACGTGTGATGTATTTCGCTCGCAACGGCCACCGAGCCACATTCTCTCTCGTCACTGATCACCCCTTCTTCTCCCCCATCTTCGCCTTCGTCTAAAAAGATATTGCGTGCGTCGGCGTTACTATTGTTTTACTTTCTCTTTTCTGTTGTCGCTGCTGGTGAGGTAGTATTGCCGCTGTTATACCGATATCTCTCTCTCTATCTCTCGTGTATCGTTTCAAGAACGGTAAACCATTGAGACCGGGATATGAGAGTTCTCTGAAGTAGCGGCGCACAGGGCAATGCTTGCTGGAAGCAGGAAGCCGCCTCACAACGTCGTATCTCTCTCATCCTCATGCCACACATATATACATTAGCAGCAAATAGTTTTCGTTCCTTCCTCCTCTGACTTGTCGACGCCGTTTTTCTTCTTTTCTTCTTCTTCTTCCAATATCTCGATCATTCGGCGCTTCTTTCCGTAAAGCCTCGCGCTCGCTGCCTTTCCCGCTCTTTTTTTTCCTTTTCCTATTCATTCGCCTCTTTTCCCGTACCGGGCTCGTTTTCTTTTTTCTTTTCTATTGCGTTTGCTTTCCCTCTCGACACTCCTACTTCATCCGTCGTCTCCCGCAAGCGCAAGAGCCGCTCGTCTGTGTGCTCACATCCCCCGCTCTCCATTGTTGCTCATTCGTTTTCTCGCAAACTCGTTCTTCTTTTCTCGATTGGCCTCATCAGTCTCCGACCATCGTTTGGTGGGCGAGGCGCTTTGCATTGTCATCCTGTTATGGCTGCCGCTGTTCTAGAGGAGCCACTTCATCCAGCCATTTTTTTTTTTTGAGGGGAGGATTCTTTTGGCGCGTGTGTTTTACTTCCACCTTATTTATTCTTTTTTGATCGCTACCTCGTGAGAGAACTCCATTCTGTGCATTGTCCTACCATTCCTTATTATTATTACTAGTACGACTGCTATTATCGGCTTCGTTTCACTTACCCAAAGGCGCGTCGGTTGCGTCGTGGGGCCAACCTCTCATTCGAATATCAGGGCTGCGCTCCTTCTTCCCTCCAAGTGTGAGGGGAGCATAAGCCTTTCTTGCTGCTCGTGTGCCGCAGCAGCAGCAGCAGTGGCATTATTGGTGTTAGTAGTAGTAGCAATAGCATCTTTGTTTAACAGCTGTGTTGCGGCTTTGTTGATGTCGCGTGCACACACGGTACCCTACTACGGCAGCATCGTGGGCCCCACGAGCAGCAGCAGCGACCTCACCTTCGGCCTCTTCGGCCTCTTCGACGACCCCGCCTACCCTCACGCGGGGCACGACGACGGTGATGGACGGCAGGACGCACCTCAGAATAACCACTACAGCAGCTACAACGGAGTCCCCCCGCTGTCGTTGAGGCCGCTACCACAACACAGAAAAGGCGAGGCAGGTGCGCCGTCGGTTTCGATGACTACTGGAGATCCTCTGGCGCACCGGGCAGTTGCAAGCGTGCGTAGTAGCAAGGAGAGAACTGTCTCCAACGCTGCGAGGGTCGTTGGGCAGAAGCCGTCTCTCGCCCTTCATGGCGGCGACTCACGTGGCAGTCTGCCGAGTGCGTCCCGCGACGATGGCGACGACGATGATGTGTTTTCCTTTGGTGCGTACAGTCCTTTTGATATGTACGACTTCGATTGCGCACGACGGCCCGTCATTTCGCGTGTCGCAAGCCCCCTCCCCGTCGAAGCTGAGGACCCGAAAGGCGGGTTGTCCGGTAACGGCAACGGCGAAACAGCGGCGGCGTCTTCCACACGCCATCGACTACCGCCGCAGCCGCCCTCTGCGCTCTGTTCTTCAGTGCTCACGAAGTCCGCCGTCCTCCTCCTCGCGTCTTCCGCGACGACGGCAGACCCCTTAGCGTCTTCGTCTTTGCCGATCTCTGCCTCCACGCAGCACACAAGCGGGATGGGTCTCAGCTCCTCCTCGCAGGCCACGACGCCTACCCCGGCTGGTACGCCCAAGGCAGACACGCGGGAAAAGGCTGTGGGGCTGGCGCCTCAACGCGGCGGTGACAGCAGTGTCGCCCAGGCCCCTCGAGTTTTCTATGCACCGACCTCATTGTTGTTGGAGGCATGCGAGGTGTGCGCGAAGGGCGTACCGACAACGCTGCCACCGCTGAATGCATCTGCGGTGCGCCTCGGCAGCGTGGATGACGCACGGCGTGAGGAAGGACCTTCTACGTCATCCACCGCAACGGAGTCGTCCATACATCCACCGCGAGGAGAAACAATACCGACTGACTCGACGCGCTCTTCACCCAAATCGGAGCCGCACGGGCGGGACGCGTGGCGCTCTCTCGCTCTCGCTTCTCTTTCCTCTACCCACGTTGTTGAATTCTTCGATAGATGAGAAGCGCGTCGGCTTCGTTCTCCGTTGTGGACATCTACCACGACGTCCACGCGTATGCCCGGTGCGGACGCCGCTACCCAACCAGCATCGCGCACAACGCAACAGCAGCAAGGCGGACTAGCGCCAATGCCCAGCGCCACGGCCAGGTTAAAATCTGTTAACTCAAATGGCATGACGGCGGGCTCCGCTGTTGAGCCGATCTCGTCCGCGCCACAGCAGCAGCAGCCAGTCGTGTCTGCACGAAACAACGAATGCAACCGGCCCAAGAAATCGACGGATCATCGACGCGACTCCAACATCTCGCTCGAGTTGAACGCACTGACGCCGGCTGTCACCGCCTCCAATCTCGCCGCCATCGAGCCGAGCCCGCCACCCGTCACGCCGAAGCAGACCGCACTCGATGACCCCGTCACCCTCCGCCCGTCCACCACAGCACCTCTGGTGGGCCAGCCTGCTCCTGCGAGGACTTCAACCAGTGAGCACAGCCCGTCGCCGCGCAGCCGTAGCGGAGTCGAATTTGATGTGTGGGAGTACGTGACAGCTGAGGAGCTCGTCTGCATGGATGGACACCGCAACAGCGACGACAACGGCAAAAACGACACGATGTCGAATGTCCCTGTGAACGAGGAGGCGCCGAGGACAACAGGCGTGCCATCCATGCTGTCGCAGCCTGCCGTGGTGAGCTTGGCGGCGAGTCCGCCACGTCGACGCAACTCCACCGCAGCATCAACGAACTCCGTAGCGTCCGCACGCCGCATCGCGAGCAACGCCGGTGCCGCGCCGCGGTCACCGCACGTCCTCCGCTCCTTTGCCTCGCTCGGCTTTCACGGCGGTTACAGCTTCGGAGTGGCGATGCGTGACGTTAATGTGGACAAGGCGGCAGCCACAGCGGTGGCAGCGGCCACCACCAACAACGCCCCTGCCTCATCAACTTTGAAGGTCCAGGCGCGTATTTGTGACAGCAAGGACGCAAGCAATACCCGCAAGGGAAGCGGCAACAGGGATAAGGCGGAAGCAGGCCTGTCCAGCACGTCCAGCGCAGGTGATCTGGAGAGCGAGGGCAGCTACGTGAACCTGTTCCGCAGCTTCGCGCGGTCGGAAACGAATTCTGCCGCTGCGAAGTCGGGACCTGACCACGCCTGGCTCGAAGAGGTGCCCGACGGCACTACGAAAGATACCACGCTGGTCGGAGACATCAGCGCCACTACAGCACCGACGAGGGCACGAACTTCGCCGCCAGTGGGAGCAACCGCTTCTTCGACCGCGGCTGCTGCACTGAAGCCGCGCGGTGACGTCAACGGACGTGTTGCCTCCATGACCGCAAACCGCCCTGCCCAACGCAACTGCCTAGACTCCTTCTTCGTTTTTCCGGAGCGATGGACACCCCCCGCGGCGGACGAAGGCGAAGAAGGCGGGGCGGTCGTGGACGACGCCAACGTCGCTCCTCTCTCCCCGTGTCCACCGCCGTTTGCATCTCTTTTTAAGGCGGTACGCGCCGCCACCGGCGATGGCACGCAGCCGAGTCGAAGTGTCAACGAAATGGTTCCATTGTCGCCGCCCGCCCACGCGGAAGCAAGGCCGAACACACAGAAGACGGCGTTCTCTTTTTCTAGATTTGCCGCAACGACGACGGCAAATCCTACTCCGAGGGAGGAGCGTCCGCAGCGGCCACCGATGCCCGACCGCGGCGAGGGAAGTGACGAGGAGAACTTCATGAACGACGGGTACGGGCGCTCATCGCAGCTGCAGCTGCCATCGTTCTTGTCGCCACTCTCACCGCAGCATGGAAAGATGAACAGCAACAGCCGCACGGATGACAACGGTGCGGATACTTCTGTGGCGGATCAGGAGGCAGCGGCCGCAATTGTCGTCGCAACAATACCTGCATCTGCTTCTCGCAGCCAAAAAAGCCCTGCTGGCAATTCGACACGTGCTAAACAAACAGCGACGAGCACGGCGGCCCTGCAACACCGATCCAGCGCGCGGTTGCCCGATGCGGCGAGCGGCGCCGTCCCCTCTGCTCACGACAAGGACACCGATGGGGAGGAGGAGCCCGTAGGCGGCAACGGAGGCGCGGGCCGGGAAGGAGAGGACGGGTTGGAAGAGGAGGAAGGCGAGCAGGAAGCCGCACGCAGTCGAGCCCCAAAAGCCGCTGTCGCACGCCGCCGCCCCTCGCAGGAGCCTCGCGGGCGTGCGGCCGTAGACACCCCCACACAAGCGCACACCATTCGAGGCGTGCCGCCCGCGTTCAATGAGCCACACGACGCCCAGCTCCGCGATCACATCAGCTCGCCGCAGCAGTCCGAGGCCTACGCTCCCTTTCAGCACAACACACGCATGAACGAACTGCAACGCTTCACGCCCGTCTACCAACCGAGGCAGTGGGTCACCGCCGACCGGCTCAACTTCCCGCCGCCGCTGGGCAACGTGATCCGGCTGCCCGGCACCCCCAGCCCTAGCACGGCTTTCTTCCGTGGTGTTCAGGAAGGAGGAGGCGGGGTCAACCGATTTGCGGTGCCGCTGCCGATGCGCGACCCGCGCACGCTGCTGCCCAACTCAGGCGCCCCCTCCTATAGCGGCGACGACGGCCAGCGACGCAGTGAGCTGCCCTCCCTCGACGCCCATGGTGCCGGCGGTGGTGGTCTGCCGGGGGATCTTGCCATTTTTCGCCCGTCCTCGCCGCCCGTCGTGCAGCGCCCTCCGGCGGTGCTCCCCCGCGTTGATCGTACCGAGGCCGCGACGGCCTTTCAAGACGCTTCTATGCTGATCAGCCGCACGTTGGAAGGGACGCGTCCGATGAAGACGATGGAACGCGGCCCGCTGCAGCCTTTTCCGTCGCCGTCACCCCCGTCGACACGGCTGTGCGCATTTGCAGGGTTGGAAGACACGCGTCGCCGCATCGGTGCGAAGTGGTTTAAGTTTGTGGCGCTCGAGATACGGTGGGTGCCGTCGCCTGGTCTGCTGCCGGATGAACGAGGGAGACCGGCGGTGGTGCTGGAGCAGGAGGGAGAAGCAGCGACGACGGCGGGCGGCGCAGCAGGTCCTTCACGGGTGCAAGAAGCAGAGTGACGCCGCGCGCTTGATCGCAGTCGCAGGTTACTCCGGTAATGGGTTGTGTCGGTCGAAGCGTTGCCGAGAGTGGCGTGTGTGTGGTGAAGGCTCTCCCTTCTCCCTTTTTTTTATTACTTCTGCAACTTATTTTTAACGGCGGCGCGCCTCAACATTTGCTGTGCACCGTTGGGTCTCTCTCTCTCTCTGCGTGTGTGTAGGTCGAGGGAATCGCCTTTGCGACTACATTCAATACAACGAATTCAAAGCACATCACCTCTAGGTCGATGTGAGCCTCGGATAATAAGACGAGAGGCATTTAATGTCCATGAGGGAGCGGGGAGGGGGTTCAAAGTGCGTGAGCGTCATCGCAGACCACGGCAGTGTTGCAGCTCCCTCTAACATGTCATTCACAATGATTCTTTTTTTCCTTCTCAAAGCAACAACGATGCTCCTCCGCACCTTTCACCTGATCCTCTCGTGTGTGTGTGTGTGTTTTCTGTTCTTTCTTTCCTCTTCTCCCACTCTCTCTACTTCTCCGCGCGCACCCTCACACGATACCAAAGAACAATCGTACAGCCTAACTGCGAGCGTACACACATATATACTTGTATTTATATTTAGTAGATACAGCTTCCGCTGAGGAACGATCAGACGTTCCCGCTTCCACCTTTCCTTACCCGGTGTTTCTTTGCTTCTTGGTTTTTTTGTCTCTGGCCTCTTCTTCTTCTTCTTCTCTCGCTTTATTTCGCCTTAATTTTTCGTCATAGGTTTATTTTTGTTTGGTTGGTTCGTTTTTGCTCGTAGATTCTTTTCTTGTGCTTTGCTTTCTGATTCTTTTTTTTTCAAGTCTCATTCGCTGTTTCTTCTTTCTTATATATATATATCGTGCTTAGTTTTCTCCCCCGTTAATCGTGCTCACCGTACCTGCTTCGCCTTCACATCACCTTCGCTCTGTTCTCTTCTTATTTTTGCTTTTGTGTGCGTGTGTGCGTGTGTGGATGGAGAGCTGTGGTGATTAACGAACTCTGTTTGTTGGTTTCTCTTCTCTCGGTGAGCGTATCGATTCCATAGCTTGCGGGATTCACCACTCGGTGGCAGAGCGAAACGAGCACCACAAGTATCTCCCTGAAGCCTTTTTTTTCTTCTTCTTTAACGTCCGCGTGGCGATCTGACGTTTTACGCATCAGCCGCAACGGTCACCACAACGCGGCGTCAACGAGCACTCAGGAGAGGAAGAAGAAACAGGGAGAGAGCGCGCAATCGGACCTTTTATTGTTCTCGTCAGCATCCCCTCTTCACAAACGGATAGTCAGTCGACACGAGCGCGTCTTTGGACGTAGAGCTATAACTATCACTATAACATTACATATATACAGATTCAAATACGCACTGCACGAGCGAAGACCGAGAAAGGTGTGCCGGTTATTGTTACCCTTCATCTCACGCCTATCGACTGTAGTTCTATCGTGGGCGTCAGTGTGCCAGTGCAGCTCAGCAACAGGTAAAGCAGGTGGGGGAGGAGAGGAAAAAGAAAAGCCCGTCGTTTTTAAAAAAGCGTCCTCACGAAACGCCTCGGCATCATCCTTATTATTATTAGTAGTAGCAGCTTTTTTATTGCTGTATTTTATCTTCTTTTGCGTTTGGCAGTCTTCATCGTTTCGTTGAGCAAAGTCTGTATATACGTATGCGAACGCGTTGGACTGCGCTGCACCCAACAGAGCAGTTTTCTTCTTTGCTTCTTTGCTTGTTGTTTAGTGTTTTCCTCTTTCCTCTTGTCTTAAAAGAGCGCAGTACTTTTCCCCTTCTTTTCATTGTAACCGTTTTATTATTTGTTTATTTCCCTGCTCCCCTCGCCTTGAAAGTGGCACCAGGAGGGGGAGCTCGCACAAGGTAAATGGCGATCAAGGGATCCGGTGCCGTTTTAATGGAGCCGTTGTCCAGCGGCCGCTGTCCCATGACCGGCGTGGGGCCCTCCATGAACTACCTCTACCCCTCCCGCGCGAACAACACACTTCAGCTCCCGCCTGTCCCCCAATGTCACGCACCGAACAGCGGTGCGTGGCAGGGTGGACCCATGCCTGCATCTCCGATGAACACCCAAGTCGTTCTCTCCGGCTCCCCGCGGCCCGGCTCGAGCTTCAGCTCGCCCGCGAGGATGATGCGTGGAGGCGGCGGAAAAGCGGAGTTTATCGGCTCACCGATGCTGCCGACCCACCCGATGCCCCCACACCCGCCGCAGACCCTGAACTTCCCCATTCGCAGTCCCCGTCAGATGCTACCGGGCGCACCGACGCGCTCCCTCGTCGGACCCCCACCGGGCGTCCCGCATGAGCAGCACCGCACCCACAACGGCTTCACGCACACGTACGTGCCACCGGTGGATGTGTCGAGCATGGACACGAGTACGAGTAGCGCGCCGGTAGCGGGGCCTCGCAAAGCCGGTGCACAGCGGCCTTTTATTGCGCCGCTTTCACAGCAGCCACCACCGGGGCGGCGAAGTTTGCACGTGAGGTCGGTGGCGCGGGGGCCGCAGCCGACCTCGACCGATCCGACGCGCCTGCGGGATGGGCGCAAAATCAAGGATGTGCAGCGTCAGCAGCAGCAGCAGCAGCAGCAGGGGCAGGGCAGCCCGGTAGGAGGGCCCCACCGCTTCACCGGACCCGGCAAAAATGGCTTAGCGGCCAAGCAAAATAATAACACGAATCGCAATAATAACAACCATAGCGAGCCGAAGCCGATCAAGACGACGGTGGACAACGATGAATCGTGGGTAAAAGGGCTGACAAACTCGATCTGGATCGACTCCCCGCGCGGTAACTTGAATGACTTAGACGCAAAGGAAGGGTCGTACAAGCGACAGGGAGGCCATGCAAACCGCCGCCGCAGGCAGCAGAAATCAGATTCGACCAGTAGCTCCACCTCTGGTGGTGTTATGGAGATGCTGCGCAGTCTTTTCCGGTGAGGTCGCTGCAGGCAGGAGCATTAACCTCTTCTTCTCCCATGCAAAATGAAAGACAGAGAGAGAAATATAAAGAAAAGGAAAAGCGATGGGGTGGCGGTATTCTGAAGCGACAGGAGAGAAGGAAAAGAAGAGGAGAGGTATGTGTGTATGTGTCTGCGTGCGTGTACATAGAAGCGTCACTTGCAGCTCTTGTGGTAGAACAGCCAGATGTCCATACAAGCAGTGCGCAATCCCTTCTCCTCTTTTCAATTTGTTGTGAGACTCCTTCCTTTAATGAAGAAAGAGCCGTTCTGTACTTTTGTTCATGGTCTTTGCTCTCTCGCTTCGACTGCCTTGTTCCCTTGCCCACTTCAGAGTGGCGATGCAACTGTTTTTTGTTTTGTTTTCTTCGTATGTGTGTGTGTGTGCGTACGAGTGGTTCTGGACGTATCGACTTCTTTTTTTCGTTTAATAAGATGTTGATGCCCAGCGATAACTTTCTCTTGTCGTTGCGGACCACATTCTTATTATTCGCGCACGCAAGGGCAAACGAGCATGGCAATGAAGAAAAGAAGGTATATTCTTTTTTTTAATGTACATATTTTGCTTTCTCTGTTGTTTTGCTCGTCTCTGCTTGTGCTTCCACTCATTTTCCTTTTCTTTTATTTTTCCTTTTTTTACCTACGAATGGTCCCGATGCCGCGGACGAGACAATTTGGATGCATTTCGTTGAGGCTCCCTCATTTTTATTATATTTGTAGTTGATGTACTCCTTGGTATTATAAATGAAGAGGGAATGGATGCTTATCTTCGTTCTTTTTTTGTTTTCCTCTTCCTTTTCTTACTCTTGTTGTTGTTGTTCTTCGGAAAAGGTAAGTGTTCTATGGTGGAGGATAGGTATTTGTTATTATCTATTGTGGTGGTGATGGACGACGAGTGTGTTGTTGTTGTGCTGCAGCGCTACTGTCATTTCGTGTCTGTAAAAAAACCAGCTTCAGCTTCTTATGCAGCTATTTGGGTTTTTGTTTTTCTCCTCTCTCGTGGTATTCTCTCCCTCATTGTTCGCTTCAGCTTCAACATGTGGGATTCTTTCTCAGTTCTCCTCGTGTTTCCTTGTTTGTCTGCTTTCCTACTTGCTGTTGTGATGCTCACTGACGAGAGCATACAGGCAAAATATATAGTATAGTGTATTCTATATGTTTGTGTGACGGCTCGTCACTTCGCGCATTCTCTTTCGTGTGCTGCACCACGAACGCTTCGGGACTCCTGCGCATCACACCGCTCCTTTTCGTTTTCGTTCTCGTTCTCGTCCCCTTCCCTTCCCCCTTTTGATTTCCTCACTGCGCGACGCACATCTCCTTCCCTCTCCCTCCTCAGAGGCACTGTCGTGAGATCAGTCATCTCTTTCTTATTACTATTATTATTATTTACTTTTCCGTTGCTGTTCTTGTCGTTTTTCACCTCATGCTTTAGTCTTCGATGACAGCGCCTTTTCTTTTGTTTGTTTTTCGTTGTCTCCCCTTCCGTCCGGATGTTACGTCAAAGGTGAACAAAAAATAAACCGGCGAAACGAAGAGAAGAGCTCTGTCCAGTTCTAGTACTTGACTGCGCGTTTCCATTAGACCTCGACTGGCCTGTGCTGAGGGTTTGAGTTTTTATTTTCCCGCTCCCCTGTTTCCGAGCTGCTGCAGGAGTGTTGGGTGGTTTAATGGGACGAGTTTTTCTTTCTTCTTCCTCTTCTTTCTCTATCGCTCGCCAACGTTCACCGTCTCAGTTTGTAACGTGTTCGATGCACTGCTTCGACGTCTTCCATTTCGCATTGGTGATGGCACACTCAACCACTGGTGTGATCTTGGTTTTGCGTGTTTGTTTGCGTGATGGGCACTGGTAAAAGATAATTTTATATATATATACCTATTGAATTGAGGATCAGGAAGACCATGTAGTACTCCGTTGTTGCTGCTTGTTGTGGTGGTGGTTGTCTTTACTCAAAAAACAATTGAAAAACTGGCTCACTTCGTTCGCTTCTCTCGGCGTCATTTGCTATTGCTCTCTTCGTATCTCCACGTCATGGACCTTCAGGTAATGCGACGCGGTCGAAAGAGGTCGTCTCGGTGAGCCACACGCGGGGTTTTAAACATGTCGACGGCGAGTACCCTTTCCCCAACCCTAACCCGCTAACGGCAGCAACGTCCACCAAACACGGAGAGGAGTCCCACTCGTTATTTATTTTGTTTCTTGTTTTCTTTTAATCTTTTTTGTTTTTTGGGGAAGGGCTGTTGTTGGGGAGTCCCTCACTCGCAGCCACGATTCAATTCTTTTCTTGGTGTACTTGTTTGGAGGGAAGCCGCTTCTTCTGCCCTTTAACTTGGTGTTTCTGTCTCTCCCTCATTTCGTGTCTTGTTGATGGGTGTGTGTGTTTACGACGTGTTCCGAATACCTTTTGGGATTTCTTTTCTTCTTGTTTCTTCTTCCTTTCCCTTTGCTCCCCCTCAACGGCGTAACGAGCGGATGTGTCTACTTTCTTCCCTCGCTCGAACTCTTCATATTGCGTTGAAATCCTTTTTTCTTCCCTTTTTCCCTGTATTTGCCTGTTTCACCGTTGATACGTGCTGCGGGGCTTTTGCGCCGTTGTTGGTGTATATATAGATACCAATGTTGTTCTTCGTTGTTTGATGCACCCGTGATGTGGGCGGGGGGCAGTCCATCGGTGCGTTAAACAGCAGGTGAAGGAAGGGGGAGAAGTCGAGCACAGGTGCATCGGCCTCCCTCCTCCCCCCCCCCCTCCGTTGTATTCTTACATTCTTTTTGTTTTCCCCTTTGCTGCTTCTTCCACTTCTCTTCTCCCTCTCTTGATGTACGATTTGGTTTTTTCTCTCCTTTGTTCTCCTTCCAATCATGTAAACTTCTGCGTGCACGACTGTTTGCAAAACAACCCTCCTTCTCTTCTCTTCCTTTCCTTTCCTTTTTTGAGCTAAAAGCCTCTCTATGTGTGTAGGTAGTGTATGTGGCCTGCTCGCGTGTGCCCGTACGTGGATGTTCCCTTTGTGTAGTAGCTCTCTCTCTGTGTACGTTGATTGCGTCGTGGCTTCTGTTTTGCGCTGCTGCGGTTGTGATTCGATGTTGTTCTCGGTTTTCATTTTCCTCCTCCGATGCATTCGTCACGTCATTACTGCGATTCACCCATTTACCTTTCTATATGGAAATGGCGCAAAGCAAGCCTTCTTATATATACAGCCAGCGTCCAGACTCCTCATGCAAGGAGGAGGGAAAAACGGCGGCAGTTACTTTGTAGCTTTACCACTTGTAGGCCACGTTGCCGTATTGGGCGTTTATGCACCGGCTCTTTCAACTTGGTTTTGTGGAGAGAGGTCTTGAAAAAGACCAAAAAAAAACAAGAAGGGAGTCGCGGCTGGCAGCGCTATATTCTTTGAATGGGTTCGGAGTTTGCTCTTTCCTTTCTTTTCCCTCTCCTCAGCGTTTAGTGGTCCTCACCTCTAAGTCGGAGGATGTGTGCGTGTGTGCCGGTGTATGTCTTGCGTTTCTTCTCCTTCTCCTCTTGATGTCCCCCTTTTTACTTTCCGATCTGTGTTGCGTGCTTAATCGTTAGAAGAACGAAAGCCAACAAGAAAAAATAGCTTGCTGAAAATTTGTTTATCTCCTGTTTCATTGTCACGCTATCCTCCACGTGTTTTAATCAAGCTGTTCGAGTATGCTTTTTTTTTTTGAGTCGTTTGCGTCTTCGTGAAAGAAAATCGTCGTCAAATGAAAAAAAATAGGCGGTATATGCTGATTAGGCTCGCCTCTTCCGCATCTCGAGTGGCTCTGCGTGTACCCAATAAGCTGTGGGAAGCAAGCTCACTCACCCCTAACGGTGTGCGGTACTGAAAAACTTACAGTTCGGGAAGCAGTGAATGGGCGAAGCACCGGTTACTTCTTCTCTGTTGATGCCGTTGCTGGCTATTGGTCTCTTTCCCCCCAGTCGGTACGGGGGGCTGTACCGTATATGGCGAAGAAAGAGAGAGAAAATGGCCTTCGCTTGTCTGTGCGCTCCACACGAGTTGTCCAGCGGAGGTCTTCTCTTCTCCTTCACTGCTCTGCTCGCCGTGTTCGCGTGCCTTTTGCTCCACCATTTTCTCCCTCCCCCCCCTCCTCGCTTTCTCTCTGCTGTCTCTTTTCCTTGTTGGTCAATGGCGTCTTCCAACCTATTCCACCCATACGCGATCATTCTCTCGCACACGCACACACGCGCACACACTCTCTCCCTTTATATTCCACGGCAGTTATTTCAGCTTTAGGTATCACCTAATTTTTGAAGTGTGATTGTTGTCTCGCGTCTGAAAGGGTTTCCTCTCTGGTAGTCGCTACCAATTTTTTTTGGTTTTTATTATTATTGTTGTCTTCGGTTTCATTTTTTCTTCTTTCGCGTTTGACGCTTTCTCTGTGTTTCTTTGTTTGATTTAGTGGGCCGCCTGTGTTCCCACTCGTCGTCCCTTCCAACGGTGCGCCTTCGTGTCCCTTCACCTTTTCCAATATATATATATATATATATTGGTTGATTTCATTGTACTTCCGCTATTTCAACCTGTGTCGCTGTTGTTTTGTTTTGTGTAGTTGCTCAGCTGCCCCTTTTTCCTATTATTTTTTCTTGTAGTTTAGCTTCATTTTTTGTGGTTGTCTTCCTTTCATAGAACGACAAAGGAGGCGGACATCAGGAGGGCAACAGGAAAGATAGAGAGAGAGAGAAGACCACCGAAAGGGGCAGTAGAAGCGGATTATATATATATATATATATTCATACGCACCACGCCAGGTGACGGAGGAAGAAGTCGAGCGAAGAGACTGCAGGCCTTGAGGAAAAGTAACGGGCTACCACAGCTTTCTGTTGTCACACACAAGCACACGCACGCACATTTCTGTTGCCCAAAACGGCGACGGAATTCAGAACTTACCTAGCAGCTCATCTGCCTTGATTGGCCTCCAACTGTGTGCGATTGCGCACCCGTAGCTGGCGCGCCCTGTTCACTTCGTCCTCAATTTTTGTTTTGTTAGACAACCTTGTCATTAGGTTACTTTCCGTTGAATATTTTTCTCTCCTTTCGTGTTTCTTGGTTTTTTTTTTTTTTGCTTTTCGAGTTCCCGCGCGTACACCAGCTGGTCAACAGCGAAATACTCGTATCAGCGTGTGTGTGTGTGTGTGTTTCTTTTCTTTTATTCTCTCTCCTCTTGCAAGAAAGTACAAGGTATAAAAGGGTGGAAAGGCAGGGCTTTTTCTTTTGATTTGCCCTCGATCTTTCTGCCACTTTCTTGGATAGAAAGCAAAGCACGTTTATATATTTGAACGTGGTGTAGAGCTCACATTTTCAGGGGGGGGGGCTTCTTTTTTTAATCTTCTCTGGATATCATCCAACGTTTACTACGCCTTTTTTCTTTTTCTTCATTTCTGTCTCTCTTTTATTGGTTTCGTTTCCGTGATCAGAAGTTCTGTCCAGTTGGTTGAGATACTGAGTGCGTGTGTATGGGTGGGGATTGTATTACAGCCGCACTCTCCTGCTGTCGTGTTCTCTCTTCTTCTTCTTTTTCTTCTTTGCTTTGTTTGTTTGTTTGTTTGCTTGCTTTTCTGGTCTGCTTCTTTAGCATCACATCGTTTGTTTTATTTCTTTTTCTCTCTTTCCGTTTTCTGTGTTTACTTGTGTGTGTGGGTGGGTGTTTCATTCCTCCTTCTCTTTTGACTCTTCCTTGCATTTTTCTACTACTGTAATTTGTTATTCGTGTTGGTTTCCATCGCTGACCCCTGTTTGCGTGTGTTGTCGCGGCAGGAGTGCGCTGTGGGCCTCGCATTCGTCTCCTAGAGAGCATTCACCTCATCAACGTGTTATTATTATTACTATTGCTCTCCTTTCTCTTTTTCTCTGAGTGTTTGGCTCCCCAGAAGGGTTTTTGTTTTGTTCTCTTGTTTTCTTGCCGGTAAAAGCACGTGGAGAGGGAAACCCAACGAAATAGGAAGAGGAGAGGAATCGCGCCTTACTGGGTCCGGCAAAGGTGAGGAGGGAGACCAAGATGATGAGTGACCCGATTACACCGTCTTACAGCGCAACAGGCCACATGTACGAGTACGGCGAGTACGACGGTCTCGTCGACCTCGACGCCCTCCACGGGGCCGCGACCAACGCGACGGCGACCACCACCACCAGTACCACCACGCAAGGCGTGAGCAGCGGCGGCGTAGGCGGGGGGACTGCCGCCGCCTCCCCCACGCCGAACCTCAGCTGCTTAATGGGCAGCAGCGACGTCGCCGGCGACTGTTCCAACTCGACGGCCCTGCAAGGGCACAACACCCTCCATGCGAGCAGCGGCGAGCAAGGCGCGACGCCGTCGCCGCACGGCCGATCACCGGCGTGGAGGCAACCCCGCGACTCGGGCACCCGAGACAGCGGACACGGCTCGAGCGCATTTGCATCCCGTTCCAATGGCGGCTACCCTATCACGTCGGACGAGAGCGATGTCGCGCTGTCGGCGGCGACGGCCACGGCAGCGACAGCGGCGGCGGCGCCTGGTTCTCGCCGTACCTCGCGTCGGCGCGTCGACAGTGCGAAGGGCCAACGAGACAGCAGCCCGAACCGTCATTACATGAACAATAGTAACTCTGGAACAACGACGGCGGCGACGACTAGTAATGCAGCCGACGACGTCGTGCACTTGCCCGTTATCTTGCCATCTCAGCAGCGCAGACCGACTGAGTCGCTGCTGCAGCCCCGCGTGCGGGTTAGTCCGCTCACGCAGGAGGCGAACCCAACCGTACCGACCGCCACCACCACCGCCACCGCCAACGTCACCGTCGCAACCACGTCGGCCAACGCCCGCAGCGCCTCCACCGTCTCTCCGTTAGCACAGAACAAGCGGTCGGTCGGGGCCAAGACGGTCATGAGCGCGAACAACCTCGCGGCCATGCAACGACACGGTAACGGCAACGAGCGCGTCTACACCAGTCCGTTGAGCACCGGCACGAGCATCAACAAGGCGGCCCCCTTCCTCGCACCCCCGCTGTCTCCGCTGCACGCCCGAACAACTCCGTCCCACCCTGGGAACGCCCCAACGTCCATTGGGGCCACCGGCGGGGCAGCCACGACAGCCGTCACAACCCGTCCCCTCACGGACAGCAGCGTAAAGCGTGAGGAGTCGCTAGACGTGGCGCAGTCCGCTGCTGCGCACACCGTGGTCGTCGACCTCGAAAGTCCGACGACTCGCTCCAATGGCTGGGTACGCGAGGAAGCCCGTCGCATCGACCGCAACAGTCATGAGATGACCACCGGCTTCTCGCAGGAGCGGCTATGGCAATCCAGCGCCCCGAGCAACACCGTCACCACCTCTCCTGCGAGCGGGCGCAGCGGCGCGGAAGGCGGCGACGCGGGCACCGAGAAGGCGAGTACGCTGCCAGCGTCAACGACGCCGCGAGCACCGGTGTGGTCGAACGACTACGAGGTAGGCCGCACCGACCTCGTTGGGTTAGCCACCACAACAACAATAACCACAACGACCGACTTTGGTGCGATGCCGCGGGTGGTCGCCCCTCCGCTGCTGCAGCGGCCTATAAAGACGCTGTCCGACAGCAGCGGCAAGCGGGTAGCTCCCCTCCGGCCACAACCAGCCGTGCCCTCGACCCCGCCGGTCGGTACGACAACATCGCTGGTGGAGTCGGTGATATCGCCCCTGCGCGCCATGGCCCCACAGCGCACCGGGCGGCCGTCAGAGGCAGAGAAGCAGCAAGAACAGCAGCAGCACTCCACCGCTGCCCCGCCGACCAATACGCTGGTCACCAGCGACAACAACCACAACTACAGAAAGCCGGACGCTGCACGGGCGAACTTAGTAGAAGGGAACGGCCACCGCGCCCGCTCCGGCTCCTCTAACCCGTCGGCTCAGCACGACACGCTGCGAGGTAGTAGCTGTAGTAGCAGTGCCGCCGCCTCCACGCCCCACACAGCGAGCGCCGTGGCCCACCGTCGCATAATGATGCAGGCCGTCGACACGCACGTGAGCGCCCCGGCCGAGCTCGTCGGGAACTGCAAGGCGGCGTCGAGTGCCGCGCAGACCAAACTGCCGTACACCGACGATGACCGCGCCGCCTTGGAGGCGTGGGCGGCCTTCCCCGCGCTCGATGTCACCATTCGCGGTCAGGCGCCGACGGCAACGCAGCTGCGCCGGGAGCGGGATCTGGCGGCGGCGCGCCCCTTCGCTGCCCAGCAGCTCTATCTGCCCGTTAAGGGGCAGGCGCCGCAGGAGTCCGCGGGCGAGCCATTTGAGATGAACTACGATGTGCACAACGTGGTGGTGCAGCTGCGGCCCCGCAACCGTCCACTCATGCTGGCCTACCCACCGCGCCTACCCTTCGAGCTGGACATGCGCCCACGCCTGCGGCGGCAGCGCACGCTGCGCAGCTTCTACGGCAAGCTATTTCCGCACGTGGGTGATACGTGGTTTCGCAACGCGCTCAACGATGCGCGGCACATCAGCTCGCCAGATATCGAGTCGATGGAGAAGCGGGAGGAGGAGGAATTTATTCGCAACGGCGGCGATCCGGCGCAGCGGAGAAATCGATATGGGCAGGCAAACAACCATAACGCGAACAACAATAATAATGGGCAGGAACAGTCACCACCACAGCAGCAGCAGCAGCAACGTCCACCTCCGTACGCAGGCGGCGTTGCACCGAGCATTGATGAAATAAACCTCAACGCCATCAAAATGGAGCAGCCTGCTGTGTGAGCTCACGGAATGAGCAGACAAGCGCACACGCACACGTACGCGCAGCACGACGCCTCAGAGACTACGCTAAGCGACCAGAAAGAAAAGAAGGGATTCCATCAGCGGTGGCGGCGCACGGTATTGTTTTCTTTTTTTCTCCTTTGTCTGTGTAGATGATGGGTATCGTAGAGAGGAACGAACTTGTATTTACAAAAAGGAAAAGCGAAGAGGTGCTTGTTGCCCAACGACACCGCCAGTAGAGTGCAGTTTCGCGTTGCAGGTACTGACCCCTTTTTATTCCTATTCCTACAACAGGATGTCACCTGATGGGGACTACCCGGTTGAGTTCTGTTTTTTTTTTCGTTCCAAGGTAATTTATTGTCCTTTTTCCTGTCCTCCAGTTGTTTCCCCATTTCTCATCAGATGCCGCTTTCCTCTGTGTGTGCGCACGTTTGTTTGATGATATGATCTTTCTCTTTTCCTCTTCTTTTCAGATCGATCTCTTCCCAGAAATGTTTAACCTCGTAGAACCTCAGTGGTGTATCGCAATTAAATTTTACATTTTCCTCTCACCGTGTCATCAGACTTTATTTTTTACTCCAGTGCATGATCCACGCTTTTGAAGGCAGTCCCTGTGTGTATGTGTGTGGGGGGGGGGGTCTGTGTTTCTTGTTCCTGTTGCTGTGGTTCCAATTCAATAGCACAATTCTTGCTCTCAAGCATCGTATGTGTGTGTGTGTGTGTGGTTCCTTCCTCCTTCCTCCCCCTCCGTTTGCTGATTTCCCTTCTCCTTTCGCTGCCTTCGAGTTAACGGGCGGAGTAGGTTGTTGTTTTTTTGGTATTGGCTTATCGTACCGTCATAGTGTGGTTTTGTTTGTTATTATTATTATCATTATCATGTACCGCCTCCGCTGCTTCACCTCCTCCTTCTAGTTTTCTTCTTCTTCTTTACTGTGCCATACAATCGATGGCGCGGGTTGTTGTTTCTTTTTTTACTGTTATGTACCCTTTTGGGAAGACAGGGGAGAGGGGGGGAGCTGCCCGGTGCATACAATGACGACACTAACAGCAATACGTTTTTTTGCGCTGTTTGTTGGCCGTAGCACTAAGTCATTTCGAAATATATATGGAAGGCATATGTATGTGGGAGAAGGTGCAAAGGCATCTAATGTACGCAGGCGGCACTACACGTCCTCATTGCTGCTTGTTGCTGCTGGTATGCCTGCAAATGCTGAGATTTCTTTTCTTCCAAACTACATTTTTATCCACATTTGGGAGCAGTCCAGCTTTCATCATTTCTCAAAAAAGAGGTGGGGAAGGATTTCCTTTTCCTTTTCCTCTTCCTTCGCATGTTCGCGTTTAGGTTCGTCGCCTCTACGTAAGATATCCTTCTTTCTCCTTCGCTTGGTGACTTGTACGGCGTGATAAGCGTCTCGCTCGCCGTTTTCTTTTGAGTTGATAGAATAACTCTTCTTTCCCGTCCTTTTTGGTTTATGAAGGTTTATCATGACACAAGTGAATCGCCCAAATCAACTTGTTCTCGTGAAGCACACAGAAATTTTGCCCTTTTTCGGTGTTGATGTGTGTGTGTGTGTGTGTGTGTGTGGCAATTTTGAGTTCTACCACTGTGTCAGAGTCTTTGCCGCGACTAAGTCTACGCGCCACGAGGTGGTGAGCTTTTGCAACCACAAATGACGTTTTTTTTTTTTTTACTGCGAACGTGAGTGTGCGTGTGTCTGCGTAGGTTCGAAAAGTAGTTCTATTATTAGTTTTTCTCTTCCTCCTTCCTATTCGCGTCGCCACCAGAACGCTTATGATTGACTCGTAACAGGTAACGGTATATATATTATGTACAGTTGAATAACGAAAAAGGCAATAGCACGTGTTCTTTCCTTCTGTGTGCCGCTGGTGTTTGACTTCTTTCCGATGATTTGTCTTTCTATATATATATATATATATGTTTGTTTTTCCCCCCTCTCACGCCCACACACTCCTTGTCGTCTTTCGTATACTTGTTTCTTCTCTTCACTTACTTAGTGTGTTCTTTCTCTGTTGTTGTTGTTTTCATCTTCGTCTTCTTTTTTATTGTTGCTTCTCTCCCTTCTTGATGACGATTCCCTGCGCTGCCGCTGATGCGTCTTTTGATTGCTTTTCAACCTCTTCTTCTTCTTTTCTTTCTTTCTTTCTCATCGTGTTACTATGTGTGGATTGGTTTTCTTGAGATTCGTATTGTGTATATAACTCTCTCTCTCTATTGATATATATATATATATATATATATATGTATATATGTATAACACGTCTTGTGGTTCTACGCATGAGGCGAAGAACAAGAAGAAAAAAGGAAAAAGAAATAATGGCTGGACCGAAGAACAAAATCTCCACT